CATTTACGGATAAAATTATACAGTACACAATTAAATCAATTTCTTTATTTTACAAAATCCGTCCCAGCTTAATTTAGTAAAATGCATGTTCCTAGCTTTATCAGTTATGATAGTACACCCATATTCTACTCGAAGAGAGATGTTTCTTAAATAATATAGAGAACATAACTGCTTTCGGCTCGTAAAACAATGCCTGGATTAAAGGCCTAATTTAACAAAGATTATTAATTGACGTAACTTAGATAGTTTCAAATAAATGGACTACTTAACATATCCTTACTATCGGCAATATAGATAAAAAATGGAACAACCGCCTAGTTAAATACACATAAACTGCAATATCACTTTAGAATAAAGTCGCTTCATTATAGTAACATTAATAATTTTGATAATTTTTCACAGAATATTTAAGGATGACGAACTAGTACAAGGTGATAGGGAGACAACACTTTGACATAAATAAACTAAGAAATTATCATTCTTTAATGATAGCATAATTTGATATTGTTAATTAATAAGAAATTATCTTTAATTAGTTTAATGGCTGATGTTTCCGTCGTCTTGGAGTACGATAGCGACGATGAGGATTTGCATTAGCTGATGGAGTCTTGGGTGTGGTATGAACTTCAACAGATTCTAATATTATAGAGAAATTTTATATCATAAAATCAGTTTAATGCTCGTGTTATAGGCTAACTTTTGTACAGTTGTCGTACCACAGTTTCCATAAAATAACTTATTTAGGAATAAGTTCATATAAATTTATCTATGACGTTATATATTATAATTTTAATAGATAAATGCATAGTTTTACATTATCATCTATGCATTAATAATTAATGTTTATATCGATTTAGAAAAGCATTTATATTAATTTATCAATGACTTTATGCATACTTTTAATAGATAACTGCGTAGTTTCATATTATTATCTATGTATTGACAACTAATGTTTATATCGATTTAGGAATGTGTTCATACTAATTTATCTATGGCGTTATCATACTTTTAATGAATAATTGGATAGTTTTATATTATTTATGTACTAATAATTAACATTATGTCGATTCATGAATTTGTTTATGTTAATCAATCCCGAACGATTTGCATATATTTTATAGATAACTGCAGTTTTTAATATTATCGATGTGGTGATAACTAATGTTTATGTCGATATTTTATAAATTAACTGATTTTCAATAAAGTTTGGATTAAACTTTGTCTGAAGAAAGAATAATGGTTATTTTCCTTTTGACGATAGCAGATTGTCAGTATTGTAGGTAGATGTCCGGCAGGACAAATCTGACAGTGGTCTCTTAATTTTACTTTTATGCAGGGTCATAGTTCTTCCGTCGTTACAAATTTGGATTTTTAGTAGCTTATTATTGCCCTTTCGACTAGAGAAAATTTACTAAATCCTTGCTTATTAGATGAATAAATGATAGCTTACCTAAACGATGAATTCGTCTAGTTTGTTGATATTTCCTTTTACCACGGTCGTATGTAATTAACTGTTTAATTCTATCATGAATGACTTTATTGTCATCATCACTATTTTGCTCATCTTAAAGTAGATGTTATTAAACGTAAATATAAGATTACATCGATAAAAAATATCTAACGTAACTATAAAATTAAGATAATAATATAAATAAATTATAGAATCTTTTTGGTACTAGTTAACTTACCCGATCTTACCACAGCATCTGAACTTTTAGCTTGATTTTCATCCGCTTCGATCACCGTGCTTTCAACAGGTACTGAGGTAAGATCAATACTAACAGACTTATTCTCATCAGGAAGTTTATTTGCATGTACTTGGTAAATTGGACTATCGTGAGCACTTTTATGTCTTTCTAATCGATGATCGCCTGTGGTTCAAAATTCAAACGAATGTAATGATAATATTTAGATGATGTTCATGCGTATGTAATAATCTACTTCTTAATTATTATTACTGGAGATTTAAATTAGTATAGAGAATTATCAACATAGCAACCAAGATTAAGAGATTTAATTTAATGAAAGGTTGAGATTTTTAATTTCTTGATCAATACAGTACAGCGAAGCTTACAGAAAATTTTCTATGAGTAAAACTATGGATAGGTTATGAAGGTATTTACCTGTTCTTGATGCTAATCTATTATGATCTTTTGGGCAAGAAAAATATTCTTCGTCTTTAGTTAATCAAGATTTTAGATATTTAGCGACAAGATCATGAAATCTTAAGAAATTTTTATTCAGTTTCTTATTTGAAACTTTTAGTTTGATAAATTATAATATAATTTAAACCTGTTCCCACTTTGGCTTGATTAATAACAGAATGATTGCACATATCAAGCAATTGTTGAGTCTCACTGCTTGTAAGATGGATAAATAAACCTTCATCTGGAAAAGATGAAAATTTTGAAATTAAAATTCATACAACTTGAAAAAAATTAATATATTTAGTTTGCTTAATTTATATTTACCTACTACATAAACAGAAAATCGTGATATCGTACATATAACCTTAATTAGCATTAATTAACCTGATGGAGAATTAACCCGCGAATTCTTTTCCGATTTCGTATTTACATGGTCATCTTTTATTGAGAAGAGACTCATTTATTAATTTCCAGATTGCTGAGATTAATCAGTCTATGATATATTATACTCGAAGTCTTTCTAACAGCAACTTAAAATTATAATGCGAAACCTTTACCTTTTTGTTTAAATTATGAAATATAATTTCATTCTAACATTTTTCACTAAATAAAATCTTAAATCTTTATTGCGTATGTTTAGTAATTTAAACTAGGTTATCACTACCTGTGATTTTGCTACCACTTGTATTATGTTTCTTAAGAGATTTAGACTTCTTTTCAGCTAAGGATATGAAATGAAAATGCAAAATATAAATATACCACAACCACCAACAGTATTGGCTCTTTAAACGCTGCAACATTATCTTTAAAAATGACTTACCTTTACTATTGGTAGGATTATCATGATACGATAAATTTATTAGTGAAGAGTCTTCCGATGCTTGTTTATATTCATCCTCAAAGCTTACTATTGCCCAAGTAATATGAAATTAGATAAATAGGTTAGAGGATAGCATTATGATGATTTATATATTTAGCAATAATGTTGGTTCTGATTTTTCCATCGTTTAAGTTGTTTATGCAATGAGGAATAATAAAATTGATCGATAGAAATAAAATTTTTCTCAAACTAACCAGTTCGCTTAGCGCGATCCTTAGAGAAACTTTGGGATTGTATATTTCTATTAATGGTCAAAGATTTCGATTTTCCTTCAGGCAGAAGACTTGCTGAGCCGGTCAAAGATTGATTAGGAAGCTTCTCTTGGTTAGCATTATCGCGTTGATACTCAGGATTTGCTTGGATCGAGGTATCATAATCTGACATCTGTTTCAATTTTGTTAAATTCTCTGCCGATCGGTTCTTCAAAATTGTTTTGGATGCCATTTGCTTTTGGTTTGATTTTGATAATATTGGGGTAGCTGGAGCTTTCTTAATAATTTTTTGATTATTGGTATCATCTAACTTGATAAATGATGTAGAATTGGAACGATTTCTAGCTTCTTCCTTCTGTTTTTGTGTTTTCACCAGCGATTGGGAAGAATGAGCAGCTATCGATTTTTTACTAGGTTGCCCGTGGCCAGCAATAGAGCTCTGATCAACTTTAATTTTAGTTATGGGTGGCAAATTTCTGTTACTTTGCTGTATTATGGATTGCTTCGCTTTCTCTCTCTCGATAGGATTTTGAGATTTTACAATAGCCGTTGATGTTGCATTGGTGGATAATGTTTCTTTAACTACAGGAGAAGTAGGTTTGATAGAAGGTTTTAGTAGAGAGGGATCCAAAACAGTTCCAGTCTCTCTAAAGATGCGAACTTTTGGCTTTTTCATATCTTTATTTGACGTAGTTGCTTTGGCTTCTTTATTTATATTACTGGATGTTGCAGCAGAGGCATTGTTTTCGTACTCAGAAGCTGTTAAAAATGCCGAATCGTCATCAGAAGCTGTATTTGGATATATAATAAGGCAAGTTAAAACAATTTCTTAGTGTTAAGATCGAGTAATTGAAATGCCAAAAAATTCTTTGCTGCTGTATCAAAGCATTGTTATAGCATTGCAAGAATAATGCTAGAAAAAGCTTATATTGATGAAATATGATCAAGATGAATACTAGTATATATGATAAAGTATAATATTGCAAGAATACTGCAAGAAATAGCTTGTAATTATGAATCTTGGTCAAGGTGAATATTAGCACATTCGATGAAGCAAAAAGACTGTAAGAAAAAGCTCTTGTTACGAAATCACGATCAAGATAACGAATAGGACAATTTGATGAAGCTAGTATTGCAAGAACACTGCAAGAAAAAGCCTCCAATAAATAAATCAATATAAAGCTAACATATATGAAAAAGCAAAATATTGCAAGAAAAGCTTCTATTAATGAATCAATATGAAGACTAGTACATGTGATAAAGCACAATATTGCAAGGATACTATTAGAAAAAGCTTCTGCTACTGAATTATTATCAAGATGACGACTAGGACATGTGATAAAATTTAAAATAGATGTGGATTAGTGGTAATTTTTGATATTAGTCGTATAAAGAATGTGCTTTAAATTTTTTCTCGTAGAGAGAATTTGCTTTACCTTGTAATAATATCTTCTTTAAGTAGCGTAAAGTATTTTAAGGTAGACGATGATAGAAGGTATAAAGGATTTTATTGAGATACAAGTTACAGGCTAACAATGATATGGTTGTTATAGATAAGGTATTTGAGATAGCAGGAATGCAGGAACTGACTAACGAGTTAGCGTACAAGGGTATTTATAGGTTTTAGATGGGATTGAGATAATGTCTTTATATGTATAGCATGTCGTCTATATGTAGCCATGATGTCGTACATTATGAATGTAATACAATACAGTACTTAAACGGTATATGATAAGTATTCGTATATTAGGATATTACTATACTAGGCATCTTCTATATAAGATCATAATGTTACATACCTCAGATATTGCACTTAACGAAAGAGGAGCTTTTTAACGAACAACATGCCACAACTCAAAATGCGAAGCATGGAGCGTAAGCGATGTTTTATAAAGATGGAAATATACGGAACTGAGCAAATATGATTTTGTTACTTAAGAAAAGTACAAGTACTTGAAAGATTATGAACAATATATCCCCAGAAGCTTTCTTGTTATAAGATACATGATGCTAGCAATAAATTGCTGTACTGATCACATAGATCTATTTTTTACCTTTAGGGGTGTCCTCTTGTTTCTTCTTAAATAAGCTAAACCTTCTCTTTCTACTTTTGCTGAGTGATTTCTTCTTTTTTTTCTTTTTCCTTTTTACTTTTTTGTCAATATTTTCGTCGTCAGTTGATGCTTGAATTTTTACTTTTTTATACTTTGATTTATACTTTTTTGCTGTAAAATTATAGTCAATAGATAAAAAATAATTATTACCTTTACATTAGAAGAAATCTATGGATAAAATCAATGTTTAATTCATTTATATCACCGGTGCCAGCTATAGCCTACCTCGATGCTGATGGTATTGAATAACATCATTTTCTACCAGTTCAAATTCATCAGAATTGAAATTTTAGCGTAAAAAAGGTATTGATCAAGAAAATACAGAATGGTATATTATACTATTTTGAGCTCGCGAAAATGTAAAATAGTGAATGGTATTTTATGTCCATTAATGCTTATTCAAGTGTAAAATAGAGCTGAAAGAAGCCCATTGATCATAGAAGATAATGTACCTGAGGAACTGCTAGTGCTTGATAGCGTATCTTTATCCGGATCATCACTTAATTGACGAACATCAACCATTTCAACTTCTGTTTTAAATCATCATTGGAAAATATTTTTAGACAATACATAAACTCGCTTTAATTCTAATATTACTCCTATTTTAGCTATTGGATTAAATAAATTAGGATTATACCTTCCAATTCATCTTTATCACTATCTTCTAGACCGCAGCCGCAGCAGCTACAGCAGCAACAGCCGTTGCCTAATTAAAGAAGATTGCAACAAATTAAAATAGCACCATACAAGTTCAATTGCTGCAGTGCAATACCGGATGGATAATAACCAGGATATGCATCCGAATAAAAATGATTTGGTTACAGACTATTGGAGATTAACTACAAGATTAATTTGACAAAGCTAAAGTTTGACCGCAGAGTACTTATGTTCACCTGCATTGTCTTCAGCTGAACAAAATTTTCTTTTCTTACAACATCTAGGACATATAATGTCACAGCAATGACCAATATTTTGGCATAGGGGACTTTCATTGTAATAGTTTCTTATTTTCGCACCTGTATAATTGAAGCAACGATTTGAAATGAAATGGTAGAAGTACATCGTAATGAGTTTGAAAATTCTTCAACACTGAATTTTGAGCCAAAATTTATCTTAATTAGATCATGTCGTGTGACTAACAAACATCAATAAATAAACTCACTTAACGACTGTATACATGGACTAAATATTTCCACCGCACCAAGGACTATAAACATGTTGAGTGTTAAATAGAAGATAGATTGATTAGTAATTGACTATATTAGATTCGTAGGCCTTCAATTAACGAAACAGGAGCCAGAATCATGAATTAAAAGTAAAATGAATAAAATACAAGGAGATATGATCTCTTATAAATAGAAAGGATTTGTATCGATTCGTAAAATTTAAAACTAAATACTTAAAAAATACGATGATTTATATAGAAGAATGATTTGATCAAAACTTATTTTATACACCGTTCAACCCAAATAAGTAGGAAAATGATAAAAATACTTAATAACTATGATAATTAAATAAATGGGGAATCATTTTTAATATTTGGATACAAGAAATCAGATCGATTTGTAAATTTACAATTGAAAGTTGGAATTAGAAGAAAAAAGAAAAATAATTTCAACATTTATTTGAATTATTTCAAAAAATTAAGTAAATATAATATCATTTATAGTATTTGGATAAAAGAAATCATATCGATTCGCAAAATTTAGAATTAAAAGTTAGAATTGAAAGAAAAATGGGAAATAATTTATGAGTATACTTGTCTGATTATTTCAGTTGAGAAAAGATGTCAAATTACACTTCATTAATCACAAATAAAAGCAAGATTTTGTCTTGTGAATATGGCAAGACTTACTTATTCCGCATAGTTCGATAACTTTAGCAGGATCACTATCGAAGATTTCATATTTGTCATATTAAGTTATTAAAACAGGCTTAATTTGATTTTAGATTAAATTTACTAACATTTTGTAATTGAAATCATTTAATAAAATCATTATATGTATTACTTACGTTATTAATTTTACCAAGGCTAATCCAACTGCTGTAGCAGCAACACCTCCTGCAACACCTCCGGCTATTTGTTGTGCAGCTGAAATACCTTGAGCATAAACTAATTCACAACAGTGGCTCATCAAATATCTTATTAGTGCAAGAGTGAAATATTAAACGAGTAATTACAGATGAAAGCTGATAGAAAGGACTATACCTGTCACGTTAACTGGTAAGCTCTCAGCACCATAAATCGCAGCACGAGTGGAAGCTTTAACCTATAAAAATTATCATATTCTTATGGCATCTCAATTTATAGAATCGGTATCTCGTATTAAAATGAAATTTGAAGTTACGTGTAAATTTATTACTTAAGATTCAGAATGTTAAATTTACAAAGTCAGTAACCAAACTAATCTATTACGAACACTTTATGTTTAATTTTTAAAGGAAAAAATGCAAAATAGAAAGCTCTTCATTTAAAATCTGTTAGTCAGCTCGAATAGGCTACATTAATTGGTCCCTTAATCACGATAATGCTATCGACTTACAAATATAATATACGATATTATATTTGAGTAGTTTCAAAAAGATTTCTATTAGTTTTAATTAGAATTACACATTTTTGTGTATGCTAAGTCCTAATACTATTTGAAATTAGTCACTAAAGGACACATAATATAATTCAATATTCAAACATATTTTAAGGAAGTTTTCATTATTTCGAATTAATTCTAAAGGTTTGCATAATGTATTTATGAATTTGGCATAGCCGGCCAATTTTACTCAGGCACTTGCTGCCTGGTATATGAAAATTTTTATCATTAATGTCTTTCAAAAAGGAATGAAAATGTTCTTATTTATGGAAAAAAGTCGTCACCTGTAAAAATTCCAGTATATTATCTCTTTTTCGCAATAGATTTTAGCGACAAGGCAAAATGTGGCGAATGTAAATTGAATAAAATCAAACTTGTATGATGTAATGATACTAATTGTTTCATAACTATCCCATATTTGGTAGATATTCCTTTTCTTTGCAAACGATCATTTGAACGATTGCTTTACTTTCAAAATAAAATAGTACGAAGAAATGCCTCGGATGTAAACGAAGATATTTGGTTCTAATAATTTATAATTGAACCGCGTAGACAGGATTACTAAAATTGATTATTTCATGCATTTATTACGTGTACTTATAGTAACTCTGTAAGTGGTTTGAAGTGAGTAAACATGATAACTGAAAATGATTATTTCATGCGGTAATTAGGTGTACTTACAGTAACTCTGTAGGTGGTTTGATCTTCCAGTTTACTAGTATTGAGCATAAGAATATTGCCGGAAACTATTTCCTCATAAATTTCGATCAACTTGTTGGTTACATTGGCTTTGCTTGTAGATATCAGGGTAAATTTAATAAGATAATTTTTTATAAGCCCATTTGGCTCTACAGGTGGTTTCCAACGAATACTAACCATCTTTACATCGACTCTACTGAGTGCTTTAACATTTTTTGGCGGCCCAGGTACTAGAATTAAAAGTGGTAAAGATTATTTAAAATGTTTATATTGTACAGGTCTTTAGTTTGTTTCGATCACGATTGGTATTAAATGAATCAATCAAAATTGGCAAGAAGTATGAAGACATCCCTATACGATTAACCGTAAAATAGTATTTAAACCAAATATAAGCAGGATATAAAATTTATAGATATTTATACCCTAAATGCAATCAATAGTTACTATATTATAATTCCAAACAGGTACATATTCAAAAATGTAAATGGTATTTGTCTCAACAATACAAAGGGAGTGAATTTCGAATCAGTAAATACTGTACAACTAGATAGATTATTCACCTATCTTATTTTAGAGATGCATTAGAGTACAAGATATGTAAAACATATCCAGAGATTTAATGTAAGAAATTAAATCAATTAAAATTGCACAGAATATGAATCGTTATAATTATTGAATTACAGTAAGATAATATTTGAATCAGATACATTAAAAGATACTATATTTTAGAGGGGTTTATACCCAAAATGCGATCAATAATTATTACTAAATTATCAATCCAAATAAGCGAATATTCAATAATTTAAAAGGTAGATGTATCTGCAACGTCGAGAGTACATTTTAAACCGGTACCTCATATAATTGTTACCGTCCAAGTACGAAATCAGGTAAATTCGCGAAATGCCTAGTCAATTTGCAAAATGCCATACCTCTGGTATTATTAATCGATGAAAAAACTTTAAAGCTAATGTTAAGTGTAACAGTAAATATCATAATCAAAGAACTTGTAAAAATATATTATAATTTTCGTAATCAGAACATTATCAATTCAATAATAACTACTTAATTGATAATATTATCTCTAAATGTTTTGCAATTACTAAATTGCAAGTTATATATGTAATGATTATTTGAATTAGTCTATTATTACTAGTATAATCATCAGTGAAAAATAGATTCTCTGTTTTTTTAGTAATATGACTACATGAATAATAATAATTTCTCTGATTTATAAAAGAAGACGGTTTCTCTGATTTACGGGTTTGGGTATTTTTGCAGTTTGCGAAGTGACTGGGCATTCCTCAAATATTTTGAACTTCGTACTCAAACGGGTACTAATATTCTATATTTACTATTGTATAACATGGAGTACTGTGATATAGTATCAATTTATACATCTATTTCGAACGCAATCGATTTGTCTATTTATGCCGGTAAAATCGATCTCTCATTTTAGTCATACTTACCTCCATCATTCGTAGTAACTAGAATTGTTTGACAAGGTAGTTTTCTTTGCTCAATATTTCTTAAATAGGCTATTGGAGTTACTCTCATCCAGTAGGTAGTAAAAGGTTTTAAATTACTAATCTTATAAATTTTAGCAATTGTCATATTTTTAATTATTGGTCGAAATCTCCTTGCAAAATCATTTGTCGATATCCCGGAGCAATTAAAGCATTCCAAGTCGAATATGAGTTTATCCTTTAGTTCTTCAGCGATGTAACCGATCCTCAAGTCTACGCTCTGATTATGCTTTCGAAGATAGGTTAAAGGGCAAGTTGGAATATCTAATGATAAACATTTGGAGATAATTAAAATATCAGTCATTTAGCTATGGAGGATCTACCAAAATTATTACTCTATCCTATTATGTTGGACTAGACTTCTATTCTCAATTTATCGAGTAATGTCAAGTCACTATGTCGCTTCTAGATACTTACTAATACATAAATTGGAGATATGCATCACTTTATCTCGTGTGCACAGACATTTTTTTGATCCAGTTACGATCGCAACGGTCCCTAGTGGACATTTTTTACATGGATTGGAGGAGATATCCGGCTTAAAGTAGTTAACAGGACAATCTAAAGGATAGGTTAAGAATAGGTTAATGAAAAATTTACTAAATTGGCTTAAATGCCCCAAAATTACATCATTTTAGACGTCTAATTGTCAGATAAGATTACAAATACATTTTACTTTGTATGTTTTAGACTTGATGTAGCAGCTGGCTATTACATTTGGATATTTTTACACACATTTAATGAAATTTTGAGCTGTATCAGATCTTATCCGTTATTAGAAAGTAGTGTATATTAATTATATTCGTTATTTTAAAATGGGATTCTAAAAGAATAGCTGAAGGTAAGCTTATAATGTATAAAGTCCTAGATTTCTTGTAAGCCAATAGACTAAACATTAAAATGTTGCAGCTCTTTGTGACAGTGTTATATACTGTATTAGAGTAGAAATATCTATGTTAGGATAATTCTGTTAGACTATCCTTATTTAGTTAACTTCTAATTTGGATATACTGTGTTTTAATATATCATTGACTTTTTATGACTGAGACACATATACACGTACTGAAATTAATAGTTATAATAGGGAATGCAAATCATCTACTTACAATTCGAATCATTGTGATTGTAATTTACTTATAGCAGATTGTAAATTATCATGGAAATGTTCCGTGATAGGACATATCGTAATCTGACTATTCTGTATTAGTCATTACATGCCTATGTTCGTAAATACTGTTATCTGCATTAAGGGAGCAGTAGCTAAAATTAATATCTAATTCAGCAAATGATTCCAAAGTTAATTGTATTATCTATGACTCATGAAGTATTGAGGAATAGTATGTAAATGCAGTATATCGTGAAATAAAGTGGATTCTCAAACTTAGTGTTCAACGTAAAATACGAGGCGTCTAAGTCTTTGTGTAGTCTGCTAGTAGAGCAAAAATTGTTTCTGATAGTGCAGATATCATTCCTTGATATGTGGTTCAAGGAATTGACTTATTGATCGTACATTACGTTATCTTGTTGCAAAGCTGTTTTATGACACTCTTTTAAAAATGAATAAGTTGCTTCTATTTAGATCACTATTAATTAATATCATTCTAATCATTAGGGAATACTCTTATATTAATAATGTTTATTTTAAAGGGCATGCTAAAGCTATAAGTGAACTTAAGCCTATTCAGTATAAAGTCTTCAATTTCGAGTAGGTCAGAGTACTAAATGTCTATATACCGTAATATGGTCTAGAGACTTGCTCCGAAATGAAAAAGTTGTATCTACTTTTAATCTACGCGTACATTAATCAATATCATTGTAATCACTCGGAAATACTCGTTTATTAATTATGTTCGGTTAGCTTAAAAATGGTTTCCTAAATGCTATTTTTGACAGTAAGCCTATATTGCATAAATGTATTCGATTTCGAGCAAGCCAGTAAATTTAGTATAAAACATAGAAGCTTCTTTTGGAAATGAATAAGTTGCTTCTATTTTTGTCTACATTAATTAAGATCATTCTAATCATCAATACCCTAATATTAATATTATTCGCTTTTTAGAGGGTATCCTAAAAGTTATAGCTGAAGGTAAGTCTATGCTGTTGTTACGATGCGTAATTTCTGACGAGACTATAAAAGGCTGGTGCCTGAAGATCCTTTTTAGTTAGTTAGTTAGTCGGTTGGATAGTCAACTAGTTTTTCAATTGATATTTAATTGTAAAGTCTATAATCTTGGGTGCCGAGATTTCTTCAGTATTAAATGATAGTAAATCTCTGACTTTCTCGTCTACACTATCTATGACGCTATAATTATACCATAGTATTCGGTCGTTGGAACTGAATTATTTGGTGATATAGCTAATCTCGCCTCTTTAAGTTAGTAAGTGGCGTTCTCCGCAAGGATTGGCGTGTATAGACTACTTTGTCACTAGTGGTGTGTGACAGCTGTATAAAAGTCTTCGAATTTCAGCAGGCCAGCAGACTGAATATTTAAGTTTAGAAGTTTCTTTTGAAAAGAATAAGTTACTTCTACTTTAATCTAAATTATTTAATAACGTTCCAACTGTAAGTACTATATGAGAATGATGGCCATAGCTTGTGCCAGAATAATTCTTTAATAACCATTTTAAGTTAAAAGACTGCAAGTAGTTTTTTACTGACCATAGCAAACAGGCGGAAGCCCCTCTTGAATGGATCGCCTGTCTTTACCAGCAGCACAAGGACAGTTATTGACATAATTGATATATTCACCATTTGCGGTACATTCTGCTGTGGGTTTTATCCCATCTGCCGATGAAGCTGAGGTACCGCTACATCGACCCTGTACAATTATTGATTTACTAGCTGGTGCTATAACACGTGGAAATGATGCTTCGCCATAATTTGTTTCGGGACATATATAGTACCAAATGGTAACTCTTCTAACATTGGTACATGTCCCGCGATCTTCAATATTGAAATACTTGCCGCCATAGTTTAAATCAGAATCATCAATGATTACTTTAGAAGCCACATTAGCTGGAGGTCTTCGACTACTATCCATATATGTAGTTGGCTGTTGATTATTGGTTGTTCCACTATCCTGACGCGTCAGGAGTAGCGTATAAGTTAGCAGCAAGGAAGGCTAAAAGTAAAATAGGTTTATTGAGTTCTCCGAACATTTCAAACTATCAAGGCTAAATTGATTATTTGGTGTCCGTTTTAAAATTGATACTAAATTATTGCAAGATTAATATATAATTACTCAAAATTGTTAATATAGCATACTAGGCAAAGATTTCCGGACAATTTATTAGCTAATGTCAAGTAATAAACTCTCAGGGTTGAGGGGCAGTTGAAGAAATTAGCTGGGCAGTTGATAGTGCTCTCATAATTCAGGTTGAAATAGATTGCTTTTACACCAGGAATTTTGGGAATAAATGGAGATATTAGCCATGCTTGCTGCTGAGGACGTCGATTACATATTCTATAGTAACTATAAGTATTTTCCGGTGATGGCGGGCGATAGGTAAACTAAAATCGAAATAAATAAGAAAAATAATACATAATCATTTTCGTAAATAGTCGTTACGGAAATTAGGATAGTATCAAAATTATTGAAGCTTTTATCCCATTATCTTTTTATAAAGAAATAAACAGGATGGAATAACGCGGTTATACAAAGATATTTATGATTAACTAGAGGCTGGTTTTAGATCATCAATACAGTAGAGAATATCGATATAAATGAATTAATGAATTACAGATTTGGTCAATTTTGAATAAAACAATAATTATGACGTTTGATATCAGAGTGAAAAATTGTTAAATATTTCTAGTAAATAACACCGGAAGATGTGTACGATAAAACTGAGGGCTGGTTTTAATTCATTATTACAGTAAAGAATATCGATAGAAATATATTAATGAAATATATATTTGTTATGTCGTTTAGAAAAACAATAATTATGATACTTGGTATTAGAAGAAAAAATTGGTAAATATCTCGATTGCATAACGCTACAAATGAATAAATATTTCTATCTTATGACTCTGCAAGGTATGCATTACAAAATTGAGGACTGATCTGAAGGCCATTAATACTGTAAAGAACATTGATATAAATAAATTGATGAATTACCGTTCAAAATTTCGTAAAATTTTTGAATAAAACAATAATTATGATAGTTGATATTAGTATGAGAAGTTATCGTTAAATAATTCTATCCTATAGCTCCGAAAGATTTCAGTATAGTAATATCGATAACTGAATTTGTTAATCTTGTGCTAGGAAAGTGCTATTCGGTAGCAACAAAAATAAATCCCTGTTAAACAGTAGGCAAAAAAAATAGGCTATTACGGCATTTATCATTTAGACTAAAATTTGAGGCGGATGATGATCACATAATTTCATCGCATTTCATGAAGATTAACGAATAAAGTCGATAAATACTATCGATTTGATCTCATTCTATCATTTTATGCACATACTAATAAATCATCCGTGACTAATTCTAGATTGAATCAACACCATCGCAGAATTGTATCGTGCTATCTTTAATTATGATTGAGAATAAAAAATACAAACATTGACTGCTTGATTGGAATTATTAAATATAGCACAGTTTTGCCAAACTCTCCAGTTCCACGCATTGCGATAAGTATCTAGAATCGTAACTACATCAATCAGATCCGAGTAGGCATCCGAAGTCATAAACAGAAATAAAATATTGGGAATTAGTTAATGAGAACAAATAAATGCAATATCTCAGTATTGTTTTATATACAGAATTTCATGACTGAAAACTTAATTCAGGAAAGAAAATATGTACAGGATAATGGGCTTAAAATGATGTTAAAATTGCAAGAGTACCTAATACAATCACAATCGTTTAAATTAAAAATGTAATTTTCATATAATAAGGAGAAAAATGATCATCTAGTACAACACATTTAAACTGATTGCAAGAACCTAAGCAAACATACACCTTAAGTATACTTGAATACATTCGTAAAAGTAGAATTGTTCATTTGTGCGTCTTACTTAATTGATATGAGATTAACTCAATGTTAATTTATAATTTTGACTGTTCGCTTTGCGACATAGGAGTATCTTACTGACTAGTATAACAATCCACCACATCAGTATCTTTAAAGCTTAGATTGAACTGTATTAATCAATAGAAGATGATTTGAGGAAGTGATTTCAGTAGAGAGATCCGAAATTCATTTCTGTTATCATCAACAAGCATGTTGATAATGCATTTTACAAACAGTAGGTTTACAACATAGACGCCGTAGGTATTAACATCTTAAGCTCTCCTATTGGAAGTTGGAAATTTAGTCACCAATATACCGCATAAGTCGGCTATTTAAGCTGAATACTTTATGGTAATAGCGTATGAATAAGGGTCTTTTAGTTATTGTAATCCAGTAATTATTGCTAGTAATTTATTCTTTACAAGCTTGATGCAAAACTCACTAGGTACATGTCTTAGGGCATATCTGTATACTGCATGTATAAATGTAGTTGCAGTAATAGGTAAGAGAGTGAATAGTAAAGATCTTCTAATACAGCAATCGAACCTATTTGCATTTATCTATCCTATAGCTTGTTGCGTAATGAGCGGAAGGAATTGAAGAAATGAAGATTGAAAGCTCAGTACAAAGTTCTAAGAATTGTTAGGTATTATCTGTGAGCTAATATCGTAGTAGTGCATGCTATAGCTTCAATAAAGGGCGAAATGAAGAAATTATAATATCTCAAGCTCTTTCAAGCAAACTAAGCACTCCGCTAGTATAAGATGGATCCTAATTGCTACAGATTTTATCCCCAGAATTGTAAATAAGAGAATAAATGGAAATAAATATCTGTTGTCTCTCATTGTTTCAATTCTTAAATTCGGCATGTGCAGTAAATATATTTTGAACTCAGCTTATCACTAAGTCACTATTTCTTTAAATATGAAAATTAATATTTAAAGAATAAAAGTAATTTTCATGATACATTCAATAGCTATCATTAACCATACTAGATATAACATAAGCTGTACTGATTTTATGAATCTTATAAATGTCGTTTATATCTCTAATTTCATTTAATCCTATATATACATAAAAGCAATAAAATTCTTGATTAGACTAAAGCTATATCACCTTGATCAGCTTCGGATAGATCAAAATGCAACATAAATACCAGATTCAGAGCTAGAACTGTTGAAATGAACATCTTTCTTGCCTCTACATCAACTTCAAGTGTTAAAATGGCGTAAATTCCAAAGAAAAGGTAGAAGAATGTTCCAAGAACTTAAATCCTACAGTATATCCAAAAATCTTTATAGTGATTGCATTTTCTACGGATCTATTGTCTAAAAAAAGTTCTTTCTAATATAATATAGGTTCGGTATAGCACACTTTAAACTGTAAAAGAAGTTTCACAGCTATAATACAGCTTTTCAAATGAGAAGATATTAACGGTATCCTATCCTATGGAATTCTATCAATATTAAAGCACATTTGATTGGTAGTACTATTTATAGATGCAATCTGACATCACTAACCCCGATCTACCGGATAGAATAGAAATATACTTGCAAATTCATACTGTATGCAGTAATTGGATTAATGGTGGTATTAATTATTATTTTAGACATCGATTTTAACGCAATTATACTATAATTAAATTAGTATTTCAAATTGAAAAGAATGTTACTTTAATGGTATATATATGCGTACAGCAACTTATTATTGGTATTCTTGGCTATCGACCATGTTATTTTATTGTACTATTTACAGTAACCTAATTTTAGTATTTTGCATTTTTTTACTGCATTTTTAGTGATAGAGCAAAGAAAAATGTTATAAAAAAATTTGGCTACCGGTTTGATGTCTATGAATATTACAGCTAAGACATTATATTTAAAATCTTGAAAGCATAGAAGAGATTGGATAATAACATTCGGTTGAATAAGCAATGTATGATCCTAGTCGTAATATAATCGATAAAATAACACTATTAATTGGCAGAGAGGGCTATGTGACTTGTCACTGCAGTTATTGATAGGTTGACTAATATAGCTCTAGAATTATAATTCAATTGAAGGCGGCAATCACATATAGAACTTTTTCCATCAGAAAAGAATACAGTGCAAGAAAAATAAGCTGTTTGCATGAAGTTTGGAGCTGTTATTAGTTATAAGATTCGATGATTAATATGAAGAAACTTTTTAAAGGTAGAACTATAAAAATCTCATATTCCTATGAATAATTTTCATACCCTAGATAAAAATTTCATTTGCATCATCCTGTGTTTAGTAGATATTTTGATAATGTTCCATAATCAAATAAAATAATGGCTGACTTCTTATAACATAATCAGCACTTTACAGTCAGAGCTTTTATATCATTTTAAGGAATACACTACTCTATTACATCTACAGTATGTGCAATGTATTAGTCAATCCAAGAAGGCTATCCAATAAAATGGCATAAATAATATCTATTCATCATACTATTGATCGGATTACATTGAATGACAAGATTTCGTACTCATAGTATTGATAGATTCATTAGTTTGGTAAGATATAAGTACTAATTTAATAAATTAATTAAAATGAAAATTCTACAGATTGTTAATGATTAGAAAGGTAGGTGAGATTAAACCATCACAATCCTTTCATCACAAAACTAGTCAATTCATAGTTAATTTACGTAAATATTACTTATCACTTAAATAATATTATAAAACTGTAGTTATCTATGAAAGAATGTATAGCGTATAGATAGCGGCATTTTTAATAAATACTAAAGTACCCATGCATCATTTGAAGTACAGTAAATAAGACAAGTATTAGTAAAGCCCCTTCACGACAAATATAGTTAACCTTTACTTCTTTTCTTTTTAGCTACTAATCTTATATGCCCTACTTGATGACAGTTTATATGCTGATCCATATGGACTGCTTTTAACCATAAATTATTATAGCGTACAATAAAGAACTTAGTGAATTTTCTTGATAAAATGCACTGGTGCTAGGTGTGTCAGAGATGATCGTTACTAACGTATATCTTCATGAAATTTTTTATCACCAGATGGAGATCATATTTAGATTTACTCTGTATTATAGCTTGAAGAGATTTTCCATGCGTTAGAGAAACTTAAGTATAGCAAAATTATTTATTTAATAGCTAAAAATGGCCATGCACAGTGGCAATAGTAAGAGTGGGCTATCTCATTCCTTTGGTGAAAAATGTCTTTATTGATTACCGTTTAAATAATATCCATTTTCCTACATATATTTACATTAACTGATATTAAGAAGTTATTAGTCGATAATTATATCGATTTTTAACCTTTCGTATAGGGCCAATTACGCAATTTTAATAATTAAGATTTAAACTCAACTTGCATACTAACACTAGTATAAAGCTATTTTTAATCGTTACTTAAATAGGGTATATATCAAGTATTTACGATTTTACATCTATGGCTGATCTTAACACTTGTAAATGTCCTTAAAAACACTTTTTAATAAACGATGATAATACTATATCGTTCAAAGCACCTGAAGCCTAAGCTATTCGAGCTGCTGACGTTTCACCTTGATCATTTTGGCTAAAGTAGCCATTCATAACCCTTTTAGAATAGATAATATCCTTAATACGGTCATGAAGTGCTTGATTTTCATCGCTGCTATTCTGTAATTGCAAATTTCGCTGCAATGGATCTATTTAATTGAAGCCACAATTTTAAAGCGAAATCATCTGTTCATATTTATACCATGATAGTATATTTATGTGATATACTGTTGTCAATATCAGCTGTAATGATAAGTACCTGTTGGGTTGGGCTGCTGATCAGGTTCAATTTGAATTTCTAATTTTGGTTTATAAACATTGCTTGCTAAATAAGACACAGTTAATTTTAAAACTAAAGGGGACTGACTATAAAAATATGCGGTAAAAAGCATTCGTACTACATTATAAAGCATCGGATTAAGAGCGATTTCAACTACTTATTACGAATTCTAAAGTCATCAATATTTCAATTGGATGATAGCATTTACGATAGAAGCCATATCTAATTTAGTGCCAGAATGTTACTTAAACTAGAAAGACGAATTAAATGTTACCCTCACTATCCGGGCAATCATAGAATTCTCCGGAAATATCACTTAGATTTTCAATTTCATCACAGCTAAAGAAATTTTCTCCTATTGTGGTAATTATTTAAGATTCTGATATCAATTCAATCAATTTGTTTCACCGTATCGAACTGCTTTCAATTACTGTATACCTGCTTTTTTTGCAGCAATTTTTCGACGTAACTTGAGTATTAACAGTTTTTGGCGAGCTGTTAATTTTATGCTCTTGTCTTGGGAACCTATTAAGTTAATTAATATTTTTATTAGCCAAATAATATGTTATGATGGTGTTTAAATTAAAGATTAATATTTTTACTCAGATATTATACAAGTCGATGGAAGTAGTTTAAAATTATCTTTTACCCGATTCATTTGCTTTAACTTTCTTATAGAGATTTCTGAGTATTTGTTTTTGTTGTTGCGATAACGTTGGCTTTTTATATGCCTGATCTAGAATAAAGAGTAGTGTATGATCCATTTCTAATGGTAATTGCTAATAAAATATTGTATCATTTATGGCATTAGTTTTGTTTGCTTTTCCTGATTATTACAGGTCTTCCCTTTACACTTGCAAAATTTCTTACCTTTTGTAGCTTTCCTTTGCTCCATCAGTTGTGCAGCTATAAGTGAACATGAAGTAGCTATCAAATATTTGTATTTTATTTCGTCAACTTTCGGTATCTTTTAGAATTTATGTAAAAAATCTTCTCTTATATAAAAATAGTTATGTTAACAAATTATATCAATTCGAAAAGATTTTTTAGCGGTAAAATGGAGTAATTTCTATCGGATCCAACCTCGTGCAATAGATTCATATGCTGGTGGTAAATCTATAATAAAAATTTTAAAACCATTTAAGCCTGCTCACTTTAACATATCAATAATTAGTGATCAAGACATTTGGTAGTCAAGTAAATTTTCTGAAATACCTCTCGTGTTTTCTTTCTTATGTTTGCTAGACAGTTGTTTATGCAGTGATTTTCTCTCATCTGTAAATAGAAAAGAAAAGGATTTATTCGTACTTAAAAATAGCAATTATCTCATCTTTATTTAAAATAGGATATTCTAGCGATCTAGCGATTGGTTAGGATGAAATTAAGCAACATTTTCTTCATTAATTTTTATTTGTGCATCATTCCACAATATTGCATGGCAATAGCTATCAATATTACCGTAATATTCATGCCTTCTTGAAACTCGTGCATGGTCGTCACAATCTTTATTAGGTGAAATTATAATTATAACGGTAAACAAGATTAATCAAACAGCTATAACTTATCAAAAGCTATTATGGATTACGGAAATCTTGAAACTTTATATTGCAAATCGCAAGATTGAATACATAGCTAAAATTAATTAAAAGTTAATGGAAGCTGTAAAACTAGATTGCAAATCATCTTGATTTTCAATCTTTGATCACTGATTTTGAGCAATAAATTAACACCTATATGAACTCGATATCGTTGTTTCTCATCAGCTGAAAATGATCTGCAATTATTAAAGATCATAAAATTTATTAAGTAGTCAGCCAGGAACTCATTACGCAATATCTTTGCTAGATGCAAATCTTCTGCTGATATTTTAAATTATACATTATAACATAAGATCTAAAACAAAATTAGCATCTGCTTTATTATCAGAACATACCGATCGTAATATCGATCATCATATCGATCTCTAATGCTGTCTAGGGATCTTCGACGCCGCCTTCTATATTTTGGAGAATTTCTTCTTCGTGAACTGCTATAATCTAGATACGGCAAAGTAAACCTTATCAAAAAGATTAGAAACTACAATTTTTAATTAAAACGGACAAGATTAAATTATTTATTTCTCATACACAATGACTAATTTTATTTTCAAAAGAATACTCTGTAAAAAAAATTGTTCGCTCAACATTTCTAGGTAGACATTTTTGCAGTTAATTTTAAATCGATTATTTCATACAATCAGATCCACTGTAGTAACGATCTTGACGTGAATATCTCCCTCTTCTTCGTCTATGTCTATAACCTGAGGAAGAATAGCTATCTATCGTTGATGAATCATCAGATGACGAGGAGGAAGATGATGATTTATTCTTCCTTTTGGATTTCTTCTTCTTAGATTTCTTTTTCTTTGATTCACTCTTTTTCTTCTTATTTTTCTTCTCCTCTTTTTCCTTCTTCTTTCTTTTCCTCCTTCGAGATTGATTGTCATTGTCTAAGAATGATAAATAGAATTACTGATATAAGGGTAAAATGCCGATTGCAGTAGTAGAAGGAGTCTATTACATGGCCATTACAGATATAAATTACGTCATTTGCTAGAATATTTAATGAATTACCTAGAGCTTGGTCTTGCGTATTTAAATTCCCGGCTAAACATATCATTAATTTTGTTAAAGTGGTAAAGAATAGAATAGTATTACTTACTAAGGTACTTTGTCAAAAATTCTGTTAGGGATAAGTACAATGTTCTGTAACTAACTTACATATTCCTGCAGTAGTAGCTTGTCCTCTAGCATGAAGGACCACTTCGTCTTTATTTTTCCATCGATATTATTGGAGCAAATGATAAATTACTATTAACCTGAGCATTGATATTGAAATAACTAATGCTACATAGAATTAAAGGAAAGCTGTATGCACAAAAATAAATCAATGTTTGTCAGTTCTATATACTAGTTCTGACAATTTTTACAACACATAAATTTAACCTTCCGATGAGTTGGAATTTTTATGCCGTCCGCAGCATCTGCAACAGGATTTCGAATCTAATAAGATAGTCAAAATTTACGTCTAAGAACGTTACATATCTGCATACTTGCACTTTTAGAATACCATCGGCTTTGGTCCGAGCTTCAATTGCCAATATAATTGATGCAACATATTACAGTAGCCAATATTTTAGGCTTACCTTTACCACCTTCAACGTCTTTTTTTTTTCTACATTTTGTGCAGCAAAATAATATAGCACATAGGCCACAGCAGCAGAGAACTCTGTTAATTCGTTTATCTAGTAAGACATGAAGAAAAAGCAACGTCATGATCGATTTCAGCTATTTTACTGTATATGCGAATTATTGTGGATTGAATAACGCAAAATAAATATTATTTATGTAGTACAATTTCGGTAATAATACTAATCAAAGATTAAATCGAGAGAATATAACCGTATTGGCTATCTTGTAAATTACTAACATTGGTTACCTTATCGATTAACTAGAAAGGTGTCAACAAGATAAGACTATGATATCATCTATCAAATGAATGTAGTAATCGAGAGAATATTGGTATTATTATTATGGTACGGTACTGCCTACCAGTATATCGTAATTTTAACTATCTTATTCTACTACTAATGAGTAATAATTGAATTATTATTTAGAAAAATATGGCAAATTACTATATTCTATCTATCAAAGTCTTTAAATATAAAGAACTCAGAAAAATGAAGATTATTATATCATCTATAAATGAATGTAGCTATCAAGATAATGCGGTATTGCTATTATTCTGGTACTATTACCAGAATATCATAGCTTTGGCTATCTTATTCTATCATTAACTAAATAATAATTAAACAATTAATCAGAAAAATGCGGCCAATTGATGCATTCTGTCTATCATGATCTTTATAATTTTATACCACCTATACCATTAATTAGCAATTTAAATGAAGATCACATCCATAATACAGTACAACACTTCATGCGTCCTACTATTATGATACAGCGTCTGTAGAATTAGTTTATTATAATCAGATTAGTCTAATCTCCTTCATATAATACTATATTTACTTACAGTTACGCATTTTCATGCATAATTTTGGTAGTGCCTTTACTAAGATGGTGAGATAAAGCAGATGTAAAGTTAACAATATCTCAAAATTAAAGATGAAATTAATGTTTACAATGCCAGTTATCAACCCCCAGTATGATATTATTAGGAATACAGATATGTGTGAGCAGTAATATCTCAATAGCATTACTTTGGTATGTCAAATTGATGCAATAGATTAGGTATAATTACATTTATCGACAACGGCGATAATTTTTCCGGCACTAACTCCGTCCCTAAAATTTATTTCATTTATTATAATTTTATATCTTAAACAGTTTCAGATTGAACTTGATTAAAGTTTTAAAACATAAGAAAAATTAGAAGCAATAATATGATATTAAATAGAGAAAGATTGATATAGATTCAGATAAAAGTGAGGTCGATTTAATTAGACTCTATCCAGTCTTTCTACACTAACTTAGCCATCATGCCAAACTTCAGAGCAAAAACTCCTAAACCAGTAGCTACAGCTCCTCCGGTAACACTTCCGATAACTGAAGATGTGGTTCTATCTCTCTCATAAACTAGATGAATAACGAAACAAAGTTAATTATTGAGATAGAAAAGATTCATTCTTAATCAAAATGTGGACTGTGGCTATAATTTAGGATTCACAAGCTTTTTATTTAGCTTGAGGCTCAATTATAATGATTAATACTTACGTATTTGCTTGCACTATTACACTAAGTCCTAAATTTATATTGTAGTCCAGTGCAGTACGTACTCAAGTTGATCGTATTATTATGTCCTCGTTAATTTATTATACTTTCGTATATCTTAGTATTAGTATTAATAAGACTTGACGTCACTTCTCTACAACTTATGATAACTGTTATATTCAATTGATTTCCATATTAGGGATTATTACTGGTTATGTTCACCATTTTAGAGATGATTACCGTCGTGAGATTATGTTTTGAAATATATTTACTGTTGTCGTGGTTTTATTGGCTTACCTTACAAGTATAGAGTATTGATGTATTAACTGTAATGGTATAAAAAGGAGATACGATAGAGAAAAAAGGGAGACTTCGGCTTATGTTAAATTTGAATAAGTCATTAAGTTACTGGTTGGTAACGTGATAATAAAGGAGATTTTTTTAAGTTTAACTTGCAGTCGTGACAATAACAATAAACTAGACTTTAAATTGCTACGCTAATAGCAAAGTAAGCAATTTCATTCCGAATAATTATACCGAAAGTTACACCATGGAAAAATGCGTAATAAATCTTTGATTGCATGCAGTATGAACTCGGATAGATCAGCCGATTATATTAAAAGGTAATCATGCTACCTGTTACATTCCGTGTCACACTTGGAGGGCCAAATGTTCCATGAACAGTTGCTGCTCTGATCTAAAGATTATTCAACATTTTGAAGAATTTAAATTTCAGGAAAATTCAGAAAATTTCAGTTCAAGAGTGGTTTATCACGCTCTATTACCTACCGTGACATGAAAGACTGTTCGAACAGGTAAAGTACTAATATTATAGAATAAAACGGTATGATCTACTTCGACGATAACATCTTTTTCAAGATCTTCTGCAGTTGCATTAAAAGCTTCTTTTAAGCTAAACATAATCAAATATCGACGAATAGCACCATTTGGTAATGTAGGCGGCTTCCAAGATACATGAACTAAGGGATTTCCCTTTTTGCTTTGGGTTTTCACTTTCGTTGGAGGACCAGGAACTACAAAATAGTGAAAGCCATGCATTTTTACGGATAATAAGGGAAATCATAAATTCTTAGTTTACCTACACTACATCAGTAATAATGCAATAGTTTATTTTAATGTATCCTATACTACATGATTTTCTTTTTCATTTACCGCCATCTAGTGTCCGAAAGATTACTGTTTCACAAGGTGTCTTTTTCTGTTTACCATCTACGATATGAATCCATGGCACTACTCGTAATGCATAACTTGTAGCTGGTTTCAAGTTAGTTACCATTAATTGCTTATCTAATGTAATGTTGGCCGTATAAACAGTATAACGACGAAAATTAATATCCTTTAGGCTACAATTAAAACATTCTAAATCAAAAGACATATTCCTTGTAATTTGTTCCTCGATGCGGCTAAATTGTAAGATTGCCGATGTATTTTTAACAGCCAAATAGAACAACTTGCATACGGGCATTGCTATAATAAATATAGTAAAAATTATAATTAAATTCTAGTCAAATAAGATGATATAATTATGATGCCAATAGAAATATTAAAAAGATGTTAATTAAGCATTTCCTTATAAGTTTTATAATACATGTATATATATATATATACTATACTTACTGATACACTCCCCAGATATGTGCAGAATACTATTCTTCAGACATACGCATTCTCTGGCGCCTTTACGAATAGTTATCATGCTATTTGGACATCGTTCGCACTTTCCGGACGATGGTAATGATTTATAATAATTAAATTTACAATCTAGAATTGAATCATTCAAAGTAAATTATCTATGGAAAAAGTGGATAAATAGCGTCACCAATATTTATAGTTAATTGCAGTATCTAATATAAAATATTTCATTCTTCTTAGCGGAAGACTTCTATGTAGCAATAGATTTGTATCGTAAGTTTGAAATTGTATTTGGGAAAGGACATACTCAAGCATATATTTTACTATCATTAACGACAAAGAATTTAATAACTAATTTGAAGCATAATTTTATTACTAGCTGGTATTACCATCCCTGAATTAAGTTTCCAATTACAAAGCACTATACAGTACATCTTACTAACTGGCATTATTATTTTAAAAGATTACTAAGCATCATTTTAAGACAGAGAAATTCATCATTACTAGTTAAAATAAGCTATCCTAGCCTACACTCGAGGATCATTAATTAAAAACATATTATTTGCTGAACAGCATCACAACTGGTCTATATCTCAGTATACGGATATTGAAATTATCGTTTGTTAAAAATTTTTATGCTATTTTGTCAGCTATTACGAAATAAGAACTAATATGCGATTATACTATTTACTGAATTGTATCCCAAGATACATCCGTATATTATTTATTCATAGCCCTAAAATTTTATAGTAACTTGTTTTTGCAAGTAAGCTATTGCCGAAAATTATTTACAATAGTTTAGATTAAGCGAAATAGAATATGATTCACTGGAAAATAAATACTACTGCTTACTGATATTATTAATCTAGCAGATTATTCGTTAGAAGATCTTACTATTTCAATAAAGTATAACTGGCGGAATTAGGCGATGCACTTAATATGTACTTTACCAACCTTGGCAAGATACGAAAATTCTTTCCCGACCGGCATTACAAGGACAATTATTGACATAATTTGCCCATTTACCATTAGGTTGGCATTCAGCAGTAGTTTTTAAACCATAAGGAAGATTTGTTGAAGAGCCAGAACATATCCCAGTCACTGTAATACTACCATTCATGGCAGCTGGTGCAACTGTACGCGGAAAGAAAGCATCCGGGTAGTTCATTAATGGGCAAGCATAATACCAAACAGACACAGCTTCAATTTCGCTACATGTTCCTCTATCTTCAATAGTTATGTGCATGTTGGCTAATCTCCATTCTCTTGCAATGAGAAAAGGAATTGGAGTTTGTTGAGGTGACACATTGGAGGTATCACGATATTTATAGGGTTGTGGTATAGTCCGAATTGGTCGATCTTGATGTTGGCTTTCCACTAAACCTTTAAAAATCTTTAGAACTGCGGTCTAAATAAGAGCAAACGTATGGCATTAAATCCTTCATAATATTTACAATTTGAAGGCTGCATCTTATGAAAACATTCATTCATACAGTTATAATTAATTTACATTATAGAACATGTAAGTCAGGACATGCAGTATTAGAGAATCAAAACAAATCGTTGCTTTATATCATCCTTTTCAATCGACAAAAATATCTATACGATTATATAAAATTGATAAATTAAAGTAAAAACAGATCTTACAGTGTACGAATCAAGTTTATGCATATAGATATATACTGCAGCATCTTAAGATATGGTTACCTGACAAATGTTTCCGTCGATTGGGTCGAATAAAACGCTTGCATAGATACCTAGACCTGACGCACAGAATCGATTTTGAGGACAAACTTGTGTATTAGTATATCTGATCTTGATATAAATTTCCTTAGCAGAATTGAGTCCAAAATAGGGCGATATAAGCCATGTTCTTTGATTACGTACTTGATTACAAATGTAATAGTATTGTACAACGCCAAGTTGCTTTAATTCAAACTTGGCAAAATGAAAAATAAATAATTAATTAATTATACCGAAAGAACTGAATTAGTGATAGTACAACCTTACAATATTACTACCGATTAACCAGTAAAAATATCTGGAGGAGTACCTACTACTGCATTTTCAGACTGCCTTGATAAGTTATTAAATCAGATATGATAGTTCAAGCAATAGAAGATAGCCAATGATTATAAATTTTGATGAAATGAGCAGCTTGTAATTATATAGTTTATCAGTGGTATACAATAAATATTATCAGATGCAAACTCTTCGATCAATCTGGCTAAAGTCTAGTTACCGGTAATCAACAAACAACACAATGAATTTAGCACTGTGTCAATTTAAACTCTACGACAAGGAAACGTATAGTAAAAGTCTGTAAGTAACTAGTGACTTGAACGCCCTTTTACTAAAAATTTGAACACATACAGTAAAGTACTGTATAGATAGAACTTTTAGTAGCTAAGACACATCTATAACTTTTCAGCGCACAACTCAACTCAAACATTTCCGTTTATATAGAAACCGACTAATTTGTAAACAACAACAGTATTATTGTTATACCTTACCAAAAGAGACATTTCGAACTGAGATGTTCCTTACATAGTTTTACTGCCAGTAAATATTTTTAATCTGTTACTCATACTTAATCCCTAACCTAAGCATATATATTGTCTAATTCAATTATCAATAGCTAGAACTTTAATCATCTTACTACTATCTATGCACGGTAACAATCAATGTCAAATGTGTCATAAACTATCACAAATAATATCCACGTTAAGGCTTTACTTATCTTACATAGCACTGCAAATATGGATATTTTCCGTATTAGCTACTACTGCATTTATTAAACTATTTTAACGGTAAGGTAACACCATAACAAGCACTTAAATAGAAATCTACTTTTCAAGAAGAATTTGCTTCAGTACCAATTATTGACTAGCAAGATATACTGATATGCATCATGATTACTCTTAGACTTTTCGAAAAGCTGTTCTGAATTAGATACAGTTAGCTAGCGCTAAAAATAGTAACATGTCTTGTATCAACTAAAAAATACCTTCAGCTTGCTATTTTAATAAGAAATTGATATGAAAGCAAATATAATATACCTTGTAAACTAATATAAGAACGTATGAAGTTGTCATGATTTACTTGTATTAATATCTTCCACTTTAACAAACATGATCCAGCATAAGTAGATATATCTATTTGTCACAGAGTAACCTTTACATAGCTATCGTGACATATTTTTCATATAACAGCTTCTCCAAGAATGAGTTAATATTAATTTATCTATGATATTTCATATATTTTTAATAGACAGCTGCATAATTGTATAATATATTGTATAAACTGATGATGAAAGTTGATTTAATTCACTATTAATGGGCTTATTTTTCAATAAAGTTTAGGTTTCAATTTGACTAACTAGATCCTAGTGTAGTTATTGTTCTTTTTGACAAATTTTAATACAGAAATTAATACACATGAATATGCGTATCTACATGGTACTGGTAATCAGTTGTAAGCTCTTTATAATTTCTTTACGTTATTGTGAGTAATGGGCATTAAATTATCAGTATAAGATAAAGATTACCTACGGTAGACTATTTGGAATAGGGTTCAGTCCCGAAATTAATGTAGTTCGTGAGTGTAAAATTCTTCTAATAATAGAAATAACTAACTTTCAAAATCCCCAATGGAACAAATACTGTCTGCAACTAACTGATAAACCTTGCGTGAGAATTAAATCCATCATATAGCAGACATTTTTAAGAAGCAAGAAAGCATCACCCGATAAACATTATTCGTCATAAACTCATCATATTTACTATGATTCAATATTCATAAATTATAGTAGAAATGGTAACACTGAGTATTAATTAGAAAGTAGCCTTGAACTTTTCAATAGTTCAGCAGCGAATTGGCTAGAAAAACTAATAAAGTTTATTTAGTGTACTCCACATAGTTTACCTTGACTGAATCCCCTTGGTTACTGTTAACGTTGACAGGGCAATTTTGCCACTGATTCCATGGTGGCCGATTTGCAGTTTGGTAGCCACTTTGTAGCAGAAAGACTAATGGAGAAAATAATATAAATATATATGTAAATCTATCAAAAATTATACAGTGTTTGGATAAAGTTTTTAAGTGTTCTAATTAAATAAAATATTGTACGAGATAATAGCATTGATCTTTCGTATTCTAATATCCTATCGATTCTTAAACTGTTTGTTAACATTAGCTAAATCTAATAATTTAATCTTCGAAAATATTGATTATTGTATCTTCCCTTAATGTCGATATTTGGATTGTATCAGTCATACCAGTTAGACCCATACCTGTACCGTTACCCACATTTTAGAATACCAATTGAAATACCTTACAGCGATATTTGATTTCATTTTAAAGCAACCCCATTTCTTTCTATAATCCTCGTGTTTTATAATATTGAATATGACTGTTCATTATTAACATTTTTAACGATATCCTCAAATTTGTGTAGTTTTATAGTTACATCTATTATTATTTTAGACAACGACAATCGCTGTTACTATTAATATCTAAGTCGTGTCTGCAAAAGCAATTAAAATTTTTTCCTTCTGGCTATACTCTTATTTTGAAGTATAGACTAGAACTACTTCGTTTAGATATTTATTAATGTCCGTAATATGATATTATCTATTTCACCATATTTATTAGGACACTTAGGGTCGATATTTTAATCATTTTCTTCCTCTATCCAATTCTTCAAGTTTATACTATAATCATCTTTCATACATAAGAAAGGTAATTCGATTTCTGTATGCAATAATTCACCCTCTTTATAAAGTCTTTCAAGACTTTTAGTTACCAGAGTTTTATAGCTATGGTAACATCAATCCATTTCTATTAGTAGCAACTAATTTCATCTTAGAATATCGGCCAGGATTTCTGCTAGTGTTATATTTAAATTATGAAATATGAAGTACTTTCCAAACTTATTGAACAACATTTTGATAACCATGATGAATTGATTTCCTATTTGCACATGAATGTAAAAAATACTACAGACTTGAACTAACTGCTATAACCGAAATAAACAAATCAAATTTAGCTTGTACAAATAGATTTGGATATATGCTAGTTGTGATCTACAGTTTATGCATAAAAGAATCTTTCATTAAAACATATATGCCTGATTTAAATCAAGGAAGAAGTAACAGGTATCCATGAGCTGAAAATATCAATTAAATGACGGAAAAAGCCTCTTCATAGCCTTAATTCATATAGAATCCCTCGCAGTGCATAATATTGCTATTTTAAGATGGGAATTAGGTAGGGACTAGTGTAGATGTATAGCATTATAGTTTAAGTATCATATTATACGGATACTTTGCTTCCACTAGCTACTTGTATATAAGCATCTACTATCAACGATTATAAAGAGTATATTCTAGCTGTAATAATCGCCAAGTTTGCTACTAGTTTGTATACATTTGTCTGAAGATTTTAATTAGCTAAAAATAGTATCGAAATTTCAAAAGTCTTGCTTTAATTTCAACTCAACGCTAAATTAACTGTTCCCATGCCTTCTATATACGACATATCACTGATAAACGGCGTTTTAATATTTCCTTTCTATCATTTTCATAACTTTAAAATAAAATGAATGGACTATGTCTATTTGTAGACAAGTTATGGAATATGTTGCGCGTTGTTGATGGTAATTCTGTAAACTCTACATTGATGTAATTGCTTGAATGGAGCGTCAATGATGATCTATTTTACGCAAAGTTTTCAACTAACTTTAACAATATTGAGCAAACAGCAAAGATTTTATTCTTAGATGTCTTATCGTTATCATTAAGGTAAAAAAAATTAATCCTTATTTAAAAATAAGCGCTGAAAACAGTAGTACATGATATTTCCTTAGCAAACATAGTCTTGAGTTTCGTTTCTTTAAGGTTTAATAAAGGGAAAAGTTTTTACGTATACTATACGTAGTCATAAAAGGACACAATAATAAATCGTAAATGAACGAACCTTGATCTCCTAGACAGCAAATGGAACAGAAAGAGAGTAATAGTATTAAAATCCACATTCCAAAATAATCAATCTTTCGCCAATCGGTAATCCGTTAATTTAAGAGTTAACATGGCCGCAATACTCACATTACAATCGATAAACTACTGACAGCGATCGAAAATAACTCCAAAGATTTTGATCGTCTTTGTTCATTCAAAGCTATTAAAAGAGCATATGCTCGGAGTACTAATCCAATTGCTATAATTATAATTAGTTCCTTATTTATAGAAATATCTTTATACTATAGGCGCTATGTCATGCTATCAAATAAAATATTCGTGATATATTTCTTTCCTTACCGTCACATAAAGATAAATTTACAACAGTAATTATCAATGGCTTATAAACTGTGTACTTTAATCCCTTCCAACCAATTCTATCGAATTGATTTACAATCGTACGTTATTTCAGGTAATTTTCCACTTGCGAATATTTCTCTAATCTAATACGATAACTTAATTTTACCCAATAGTAAAGAATTACGCAGTTAAACAAATTAAATGTCTGTAATGCTCTCATACTGTACAACGATCCAGCTGATGCTATAAATCCCCATTCTCAGAGATAAATATTACTATAATTTCTTTGTATTTCTATCTAAAATCTAACTATAATCTGCAACACTTTTTTCGTTTACCAAGCTACGATAAAAGTGGATTCTATTTCTGAATAGCTCAGTGATAATACAAAATCGAACTATACGATGATGACATGAATGATGCAAGCAAATAAGATATTTAATTTAATTACATGTTTTTCATAGCTGATTTATCATTGAAATATTGTAACATATTGCTGGAAATACAAACGATACCTAGAATCATATTATGATCAAATTAGCCAAATTGAAAGTAACATAGTGATAAATAAAGCTATTCCTATACTTTTACGCTACCATCGCAAAATAGATATACTCCTAGGGCCAATAATTAAAGGCATTTGCTCTGTCTAAATTCAACCAGACATTGCATGGAGACAAAATTTAATATTCTTAATTGCTATTGAAATTATTGTTGGAAAGATTGAAAAATAGGCTTGGAAATGGTATTAATTTTGGGCTATATTCTTCAGTACTTTTTCTTATGCATTACTCTAACACGTAGTGAACAAGGTAAATGTTAGAATTTCTGTTTATTCTATAATATAGCTATTATTGATTGTCATTTAAAATGGAGCGACTGCTAGAGAATTTCATTATATTAATACTGTAATCATAGGCAAACGATGTAATCTTATTTTACCGATGGTCGATATAGCTAGTAAATTTAAAGAATATCCAGCTATGGTATTTTAACATGTACTTTCTATAAATTGCCGACTTAAAATTACAGAATGGCCAATCTCTGTAATAGAACCAGTACACAATAATTTCTGAATATACTAAAATCTTCTATAATAAAAGTTATCATATCTTATTTTTACCAGATGTAAGATCAGTTAACTAAGTTACTAGCCGGCAAAAGTATCAGAATTACAAATGATTGCTTTCTCTTTCAATACTATCTATGAACTGTAATAATAAATTATCATTTAGTATATGAACCCATAATTAAAATAAAATTGGTAGTTGGCAATCCTATTTCTTGCGTACCATTTGGCAGACAATTTATCCTTTTGTGCTATTTGCTGGTCATAATTTATTTTAGTAATAGTCACCAAATTTAATATTACAAAGCGATTGCCTGTTAAGTTTGGCGATGCTCTTTACAAAAACAACATAAGAGATATCAAGTTCATATTTTTTTTGAAAGGAAACAAGTGAAAGATAATCAAGTCTTTTGCTTACACCCAAACTAATACTTACGAATGACTTTAATGGATAAAACAAGAAAGTAAACTTTTCTACAGATATTCTGAGCACACTAAAACTTTAGTTGGTTGATTTTCATTAATGAATAGTCTAGTAAGGAATTACTCTTCTATTTTGATGCTCCTAACAAATCAAGCTGTGACAAAATTTGCCAATACTTATTTGTAATAACCACAGTGGAAGGCATTGATATCGTAGACCTACTCTATTAAACTAATCACTTAGTTTGATAGGCTAATAAATTAAGAGGTGACGAGAAATGACAGGCAATCACCATTTTCTTTCATAGCTTTTTACAATTAACTTGATAATCGAAATAGTAGGATATTACGAACTGATAATTGTATAAAATAATTTAACTTTTAGCCATTTTTAGTCTCTCATTTAGTTTGGTTAGCTAATATATTAGCAGGTGGAGAGAAAGAACTGTACAAAATCACCTATTGCTTTCGAAACTCATTTACGATAAACTTGATGATTACTTATTTTAGGATATTGTAAATTGATAAATTAACTTTTAGCAATTTATAGTCTATTTATTAGACACAGCAGTAAGCGAATATCAATGGTCTCGATGGCAAAGCTGTTCAGAGGAAGTATTAACAAATCAAACGGTACTTTAGCATCTAGACGATAGCAATAGTAGTCAATTGTGCTGTTTAAGTTGATAAGTTTATATTGCAAAACATGTATTTAACTCTTTCTTTCTAACTTGTAGAACAACAATGACCAATTATTATGGCAGTTAGACAATCCGATCTATATGTGCGATTATTCTTCTGACCAAATTTCTTGGTTGATATCACCAACCTTCGCTGTATTACCCAATAAGAAAATTACAGTTCATATCCAATATATTAAAGCTCCTAATATCACCGTCGGTGATGATAGCATTCCAGAATTGCAAGCCATTGTTGTCCCTTCAGCTAAAGTTTCTGAAAGCCAATTCTGTCAGGTAGCTGTTTTAATAGTTTATTGGCATGCTATTTCATGGATTAATCTCGATTTTAGTAAACTAAGCTTAATTTTTGGGAGTTTTCCGTTTCTAAAGCATAGTTTAGAAATCTTAAAGTCTTCCTAATGCATTCAATATTTTTTATGCTTGGCTTCAATGCCTTCAATTTGTTAACTCACAAATTTTATGTAGGACTATAAACCGATAGCGATATTGCTACCAGCCTGTGCTAATCATTTATAACTGTCATTAAATATCTTGTAGCAAACCAGCCAAGTTAGTGATAAATATATTCAACTGAAAAGGGAATCAAATATTGCTACTGAGTTAGCTCTAGAAAAGGAAAAGAATTTAAAAAATCACGCGCATCATTTACAAAATGTCGAAGAGATGGATATGGACATTAAATCGACGCCAAAGCTTGTTTATGCTCGTTTAATAATTCAAAATAATCGTTCATGCAGTCAAGTTAATTCCGTTAGAATAATCAATACCGTCTGTGAAAAAATTATTGCCGAAGGAGCAATATTTCCTGAAAGCAACCCTCCTTCTGTTCAAAATGGTCCAAAATTAGTCATAGGCCATTGCACAGGATCGGTAGTGGCTAATGTATCGAAACCAGTAGCATGGTGTCAACCCGATGGAAATTGGAGTCATTTTATTAATGCTTGTCGCTGCCCTCGTGGTAAGGAGCGCAGGCAGCAATATTGTGTCAGTAAGTTATCATATTATCAACGTAGAAATATCGTTTGAACCTAAATCTCAATGTCATAATAATCTTGAAATATGTTACTATCTTTGGATAGAATGCCAGATAAACTACTACAAGCCCAATTCTTCTGCTTTACCTTGTTTACCATGTCCAGCTAATACTTCGACTACAGTAAGAGGATCCGTCAAATGTATTTGCAATTCCAAGCAAATTAAACTAAACTCTCAGCTGCCTTGCCAACGTAAGACTTATTATACCAGCTTTATAGATCTATACCATATTAAATTAGCAAAGCCAAGATGATGTCAAAATTACAGTCGATTTGCTTAGCCAATAATCTAGTTTTATGAACGTTTAAACGTAAAAATTTTTGTGATGTTTCGGAAGATTGTGGATTCGTCATGATCACAGTAAATTACCAGAGTTAATTCAGTAGAGGAATAGAGTTTATTGGAATTAGTGCAAAGGAAAGACCGTGTGAGATTACAGCGTGTATAATGACGTGACTAGTCGAATAGCTATAGTAATGTTGCATAGGTAAAGCGTACAAGCTTACCGTGTAACTAGCAGAACTAACTAACGAGATAGGTGAAAGAAGATAGCTTTTATAATGTATGAAGCACAGCAGGAGGAAATCATAAATGACTAATAAGAATATGTTACTTCTATGTTAAGACAGGGCTATGATATAATTCAGCTAGATTCAAAGCAATTTCCACAGAGTATTTTGTTAAATATAAATTATACATATTTAGAGTTATGCTGCAATCTAGTGGAAATTGACTTTTACTAAAAATAGACTATACCGTATTTAGAAGTAAACACTACAATTTTAATCACTAAAATTAGCCATTTTTTTGGTTAGTACACTGCATCTCTTCCTTCTACGGTAATAATACATCTTTCACTTCCTATAAAATAGTAGGACTACCAGTCAGCTTATTTTGAGGAGGATTATGCTTATAAGAAAATGCTGTCCTTTCTCATATACACAGTACAATAACTATATAAATTATTTGTAGCTTAAACTAAAATACAATACCATAAATTCGATCCTATTCTAGTCTCAGACATAATTTTAAATCATACTATTATTTTCGTGATGGCAAATTACAAAATCTAGCTATTCCTAAATGCAAAGTCAGATTTTCCTCAGCCAATACCAGCAGCTTAATCCAAGTTTTGAGCTTTGGATCCAGGAAAACAAGAGCTATGACATTTCGATTGCAGTGTCGGAATTGCTCAGTATCTGGAATCCAATACAATCGTAATTTAAAACTAAAGACTAGGATAAAAATAAATTCCCTCCTTCCAAATGCAATGTACGTGATTAAAATTTCGCCTATCGTTATTGCGAATGGTAAAAAGTACCTAAAAATGCCTTGTGCCACCTTGAAGATAAAAACAAAAGATGGAGGTAAGCTTAATAAAAGAATCAGCCATTCTTTTTGCTATTTATAAATAATTAACTCATAATTTCTCTTATTTCCATGTTACAAAATATGAATTCAAGCCTAGAGATTAAAAATTTATGCATATCTTTATGATTAATTAGTTCCTGGAGCACCACGCCAAGTTCATGTACTACAGGATAAATTCTATCCATTAATCTACATTACCTGGAAACCTCCGAGAGTATCTAATGGGCTAATCATAAAATATCGAATACTTTGCCGTCGTCTACTAGAAAATCATGCTACGTTATCTACGCTAGCCAAAGAAGAAATATTTGTGCAAGAAGTTGACGGAGTTGTTCAATTTGCTAATATCTCACATCTGAGACCAAGATCTCACTACTCGATCACGGTAAATTTAGCTATAGCATTAATATCACATTTTAATTATAGTAATCAGCAGCATTTTAATTTGATCGTAGATTAGTGCCACCACGAAATTAGGACAATATGGACCACAAAGCTATCCAGCGTTTATCCGTAAGAAATAAATCTGCAGAAACTTTACAGTATACTGCAAATGAGTTGGCCAGTATAACTGCTTTTAAAATTTGCGATGTTGCATAAGTTCTTTACAAAATGCCCATAAACGCTGTTGAAAATATCTTTGCTTCCAGAAATGATTAAATTTTTAAATAATATTTACGATTTCAATTTTCTTATTTGACTTATTAGAAACTTTTTTGCTTCATGATATTAGCTTTAATTATGCCTTTGATGTATTAAGCATTAATATTAATTCAATTTATAGACATAGGACCAGTAATTTCTGATGATACCAAAACAGATGCTATTCGTCTATCCCTGGCTCCCTTGATTATCGGAGGATTTACTGCCGGAGCTATGCTTATTGCTGTCCTTATTGTGATATTAAAGTTTGGCGGCATACCAAAGTAAGACTTGTCGACTGTGATTCAATTTGAAATACAACTTTAAATTTAGCCTTTGCCATTTGAATTTTTGAATACTTATGACTGAATTATGGAGCTACCTATTACGTTCATTACTCGGTAGAATATAACCTGAAAACATCAGGTTGTGTTGATAAGTGGGATAAACTAGCCATAATTTTTGTAATATTCTACAAGTAGGTTTTCTCTGAATGATGGATTAAGCGCTATTTGTCGAAATTACTGTAAGTTTCTTGATTGCGTATACGCTTAAAACGCCGTAGTGATTCTATTACGTAAAATTTTTATGGTCTAGAAATTTTACCAATCTAGGCCTCGTTTCTGAAATAATTCAAGGATAGTTTTGTCATAATTAAGAACTGTGACTAGTGACATTAAAAAATACTCCTTCGCTTTGTAGGGATTAATAATTATTGTTGCTGCTGTAGAAGGCGATCAGCTTTTTCCGATACTAGCGATAAAAATGAATTAGGTATTAGCAAGATATAACAATACGATCACTTCCTTGCGATTATGAAGTGATTATCTAAGCCTTCTTCAGAATATGTTAAAATAGTGAAGCTAGCATAAATATATCCAGGCCTATTAGAAACAGCTAACTTCTATTTCTTTATTTTATTAACAATTATTAGATGAAACTGATCTGGAAGACACTATCATTTAGAACTTTTAGGCAAAATCAAAAGCTAATAAATCTACTAGTAAGATCAAATACTGCCATCATTATTTATTTACTTTTGATATAAATGAAAATCCTATAAGCCTGAAATGAAATGTCGTAGATCTGTCACAAATTTAGTTGAACTTTACGCAATGTAGAATGTAATTACGATATATTATCATATATTTAATATTATTAAAGATATAGAGGCTCAAAGTATCGACAGCTAATAGCTGTCACGGTAGATAAAATATCGTACAATTAAGATTTTTACCTAACCTTATATATCCGTCTAAAGCATAAAATTTTAATTATACAGAACTAATGTGAATGCGTGCCACAAGTATTTCATAAAAAATATGTCTAACTTGCAATCGATTTTTGAATTAAAATCCTCCAATATGTTAGTAACTGATTATCAATTAAACTGAGTCCAACACTGTATGCAAGATGAATTAAGATATCATTTTTAACATCTTCTAGATTGATTAACAGAAAGAGAGCAAATAGAGGCATAATTATTAAATTCCTCTTCCGTTTCGGACTGAATTATAATACAAAACTGATTGATATGCTAATAATTAGCCAAACAGTCAGTTTCTAATGCAAAAGATCAAAATTGACTTCTTTTCAGCTGATTTATCCAAATATAATAGCAAAATAGCTTGTTATATGCTTCTAAATAACGAAAGAGAAGCAGCAATGACCGTGAAAAACTTCTACAGTATCGTACCGAAGCCGCTACTTCAGTTGCTAGCTCTACCCGATATAGCTACATAATAACTTTCTAGAATCGATATATCTTTAAACCTATGATACTGGAATTATATAAGAAAGAAGGTCAAATAGTTATTTGAATAAGTTTTGCGAATAAATTTACGGCTAATTTATACATTTCTGTATGATTAATATGCCTGAATGTGTCTTAAGTGATTATTTAGAATTCACAGGCAGAATTTGAGATATAATCGTTACTCCGACCATATTTCCAGCAAATTTAAGGTTAATTCTACGCAGGCAAAATAGATTAAAGTCTAGTCAAATGTAATGAAATGAAAACTGTAGAGATCAAGCTGCAAAACTTTAACAAACTTTGATTCTACTTTCGTTGCACTCCGGTCGACTTAACGCTAATACTTTGACACCAAATAAAATTTGGGGAAATAACCGAACAACAATTTATTACGAAACAAAAATGGAGAGAAGTATAAACCGAACAACCTTACAAATACTTAGCTTTAAGTATTAATAAATAAATGACAGACTTAAAAATTGTCAACGACCAAACAACCTTTCAAAAAGAAGAACGTTTTAACTTACGACAATTCGACCCCGAAGGCCTTTTAAATTCAACAAGTTCTTCAAATAAAATCTTCTTCTACTCTTCTCTAAATTTTCTAATTATACTATCATTTATAGGCTTTGTCGAGCCGTCAGAGGTATTTAAAACTAAATATTTGCTAACCAATCGCTCTTAAGATCCGTTTTAGAAAACTACTTTGCATCATTTAAGAAAACAAAAATCATTCAAAGTTCAGACACAATTTACCCTACGATTCCTTTACAAAACACTATAAAACCAATAAGCTAACTTAAAATACATCAAACTTCACTTCTAACATAATTTCTATCATTAATACACTATAAAAGTCTAAAAACTAACCTTTAAACATCAAGATTTAGTCGTAAAAATAACATTCTAACTACTTAACAATCAACACAACCTCTACCAATTTCCATCTTATTTTCTATTTTCCTAACTAAACTTTCCTAATGTGACTTTCAAGTCACGTCATAAAATTCCAAAATTTCATATTCATAACCAAAAATTCAAATTTCAAAAATCAACTCGTACGGTATTTTTCATGAACAAAAATCCAAAAATTAAAACAGGAAAATTATATCGGACATAAATCCGACCGGCTCCGGAATCCGAATCCAAAAAATCCGGATTTTATAAAGATTACAGTACTCGCTATTTCGCTAATCAAAAAATTTTATATGACTATCACGACTACTTTTCTGACTTTAGTATCGCTGAGTATTGGCAGTTGATGTTTTAGCGTCAGATTGTACGTTAACTGTACGATTATAGACTACATTACAGTACTTTATCGCCATGTTATAAATCCCCTTTCTCTAAGGATAGGGTTTTGTTACTAAGTCAAATTCATTTACAATTTGAATAAACGATCAAACGCCCTTTCTTTAGATTAGGCAATTGCTCTAGGGCTATTTCTATAGTAATCTATATAATACCTTGTAAAATAATGAAGAAGAAAATATGGCGACATGATGATTTGGCAGGGTAAAACTTAAAGACACTATCACTTTCTAGGTATTTTCTATAGTAAAATAATACTAGTTACATACTAAAAGCTATAAAGGACTCTACTTTTAGTCCTTTACTACACAAATCTTGACTGCATAGTAACGTTCAAGGGCTTGTAAAATTATGATTAATCAATTTAGCTAATTTAGAAGCTAAACTAAGTATATTATACGATCAATTAAAACGCTATGGTGTCGAAAGAGAGGCATAAAATATACTCTGACCAATACTACAGAAAAATTGCAATTGTTGTTATGTCACTTTCTACTGTAATCTAGGAGCTAAATACATATCAAAGATCTAGAATTATACGCTTCGAATTATTATTTAAAATTTAGAGACAGAATTAGAGATACTATAGTCACTTTAATCATATCTCTAGTAAATTTAAAGTTAGTTCTACACATCCAAAATGGATTAAAAAGAAGCCAAATCTGAGCTGTAGTGCAATATTTAAGGGCTTACGAAATTGTGATTACACAATCAATCAATTTAGCTAATTTAGAAGCTAAATTAAGTATGCGACATGATAAGTTAGAACATTATTCTATTCTTTAAAATACTCGTATAAGGGCGGATTATGGTGTGGAAAGAGAGGTGTGAAATATATTCAGACCAATATTAAGAACAAATTATAGTTAGGGCTGTATCAATAATGCGAGTTGATACCCTAATTTAACATTTCAATCTCTTCTATAGAATATTTTGGACTGAAAGAAGGATGCGATTGCAGCATTGCTATAGCATAGGTTTAATAAAATAAATGATATAAATATAATTCTCTGCATGTGAGCATCGATATGCAGAATTTTGATTTAAGGAGTCAATATCTTTTATTGAGGCTATAATCTTAGAAATGCAGATATTCAATTTCTTAGAATAGCAGCTACAACCTACTGTCTATAAGTACCGATGCTTAACATGGATCAGTATCGTAGAGATTCAAAGTCAATAGACAGCAGCAAAAGTCTATCTTGGCAAAATTAAGTTAGAGTGTATTTTTACTGACTCGCTTTGGATCATAAACAATTCTAATACATCCTGTAATGGATGCAAAAGCTATCCAGAAATTTTTAATCCATTCACTAAATTACTGGTTCTAAAGATTAAAATTTATGATATCATGACTGAATAATCAGACGTATCAAATTGTATTTTAACTAATATGATTGCTTGAATTTTCTAAAGTCCATAGTTTCAATCTGTTACCTAAACAATATGGCGGACAAACTTAATCGTATAATTCCATTTCGACGGGATAATGGTCGCTAACAGCAGTGGTCTAATAAATAGCACAATAAATAGATTTAATATCAATTAGATTGTTGGCGATCATCAAAGCAGATCGAATTATTATATTTTTATAGATAATAAAAGGTAAATTTCTATTTATTAACTTTTAAAATCGATATCAGGCCAGTTTAAGGCTAACGCACAGAAGATTGACGATCATAAAATCATCATTTAACATTTATTCTATTTGTCTCAATTTACTTAATGGCATCTTACCTCGTCATAGCTAAGACCATACTCACTGTCAAATCGGAATACTTTAGCAGTACCGCTAACATAATCACTTTGCATACGACTACCAGCTAAAACAAGTCTGAAGACAAAATTAGAAGAAAAATTCAGGATATAGCAGATGACCAAGTATAAGTAATTACCTAAACTGTCTAAAAACTCACAATGATGCCAAGGTACAACATTAATTATACGTTACTACTTTCTATCTAGCATAAATCTATTTCATCCCTATCACTATTATAGAATCATGACGATCGTAAACTGAAAGCCAGTAAGAATACCTGTCATAGGCACAATTGGTTGATTTAGTGGTAGTATCAGCATTACTGCCAATGACCCAGTTAAATCGGCTTTGAGTCCACAAGCGAACATAACTCCATTCACTTGATGAAATATAACTGCAATCAGCATTGAAATCACCCATAAGGATGGCGTTTGATTCGCCAAAACGAGTAGTAGCGTCATCATAAACATCAGCTAAGGCATCAGTTTCTTCGACAGCGTAGGAAGGAGAGGCATGGCAAGGGATCAGGACGAATTGCTTACCTAGGAGGTGAGAATAACTTCTATTTAGATATTTCTATTAGTATATGTTAACATATATATTACTAAATTATTTTGAATAGTAAATGATTTTTCCATCTCGTGATTAATAGTCATTGCATTATGAAATTTACGAATTTAGTCAGAATATCGTATCTACAGCTTTTAGCGCATGACAATTTATCCGAAATTGAATATTTTCTATTGAATATCACTTTGCCAATTCGTTTGCATCATTAATAGTGCATTTAAGGCTAATAATTCCCATTTGATAGAATAACAGCAAACTAGAGGCTTACGGAATATATTCTAACTAACCAGTAGCAGTGATTTTAAACTTAACAACAAAGGGTTCTCTGATAAAGGAATCGTCACCAGCGCTTTCATCACCGTCATCATAGTGATAATTTCCTTGGACTGAGAATAAATCGGTCCTAGCAATGAATGTCATTAATTAAAACAAATGGAGCTTTTACTACTATTATTTAGCCGTTACTTTCTATCAAAGAATAAACAAATATACAGGCCTACCTTACCGAATAACTTATTGATTTATTATGCTAATATCATTAAGGCGATGCTTAATTAAGTAAACTTTACCTATAGAAGAAAGCATATTGCTCCTTGTAGCTGCTACGACCAAGGCGATCAGAAAGAATCATGGCATAAGAATAGCTATGACCCCTATGAATACAATAGTGAATAGATAAGAGTTTCCCATGGTTTGCATATTCGATAGGCTTTACCAGAACTAATACTGCCGCGTTACTCATATTGATGAAAGCTACTGTCTGTTAGATTTAAATTTTGATTAAAATAGCTAACACATAATTTTTAACAAAATCAGTTAATATTATATATATATATATTTATAAAAATTTTATGTTACTACATCATAAGTTAAATTTTAGCTGCATTAAACAGTTACTGTATTATAAGAAAGGCGATTGATAATTCGTTAAATTTAAAGGGGATTAATTATTGCTCAATATTTATTTATAATTGTTGCTTAGATACAGTATCTTTCTACTAATCACTTATAAAATCATTTTATTACTACACTACACTTTGCATTTTGTAGCGTTACAGTCAGAATTATCAAATAGATAAGCAAGCAATATTATAGGTACACTTTTCAATACTATAATAGCGAAAAATTATTTTAATGTAATTAAAATTCCTAATCATAAATTACATCCACTAACAGATCTAATCTAATAATTTTTTCGTACTTATTAACTTCATCCAAAAGTGTTTGGATAGCGACGCCACTGCTGTCACGGATTTCTTGGATAAGAGTTAGATCGTAACGACGCAAGATCTAAGTCAGAAATGAAAAATCTTTCTTGAAGATTTTACCCTAGCAAACGCTCATCTTCTAGATCTACAACATGCGTATAAGAATATGATAGCAAAATTTCCAATTCGTAATTCAAATCACTGTTTCTTATAGGCTTCTTTCTCCTGCATGCTTACCTTAACTAATTCAGCTACAACTTCTTGTTTGCCCATTTTGGTTTTGCCCAACGTTTGGATATTAAAGGCAGCAATTTTCACTTTGCCGGCTTCAGCAGCCAACGAAAAAATTGCGAGCATACAAAATAGTGCAATCTTCATCTTGATCTCGTCAGAATTTGAAAGGAAAAGCAGCCAAAAATTATGTAAAATAAGCTCAATTTGTACGCTTTATATACTTTGTCCACTGTTATGCAGCTGCAAAGTTATTTCCTTGATAACCTATGAAACTGATTAATTATTAAAGCAGAATAGATACATTAACAGCTGCGGTATATAAATTGTAAACATTTTCGATCATTATCTATTGAATGATCCACCTTGAACGGAATTAACGTATTAAATATTAAGACATTTTTATATCTTAAAATCTGTAGTAGAGATTGAATTTTTAAAAGTATATAGCAAATTCTAAACAGTAGCTTGTACTGTAATTCTTTGATGCATATGACATTCAACTCTGAAATTTTTCACGCCAAATCTGATTTAATCTAATCTAAAGTTATATTTTCATTTTCATTAATAAATAATTCCAAGGATTCATTTATCTGTTTATTTCTTTAAATCTAATTGATATTTTAAGATAATCTTTAATCTTATACGGTATATGTGAGATTAGTTGCATTGTGTCTTTACTGTAAATGTTGATTATACTTAAATACAATGATTTTCAAAAGTGAATTCTAGATATTCGGTCATTTCTATCTGAATTGTTTAAATAAGCGCATTCATTTATAATTTGATTCATTCGACGAATACTCTTCTTTGGCTTTGTTTGATTTCATGTATGTGGCTACACTGTTATGTCAATATTGCCTACTAGTAGTTATTAAAGTTTCTTATTCGAAGTGAGATATCTTCTAAAATCTCTTTTATAATTCTTGTTAAAATGCGTATATTTGGACTGGATCGATCTCCTTAATTCTATCTATAAGCGTAATTACAGTAGTAAAGCTATAAGATTGTTACTAATCACTTAGAACCATTAGGATGACAATCAATCGCCCCATTTTATCGATATAGCGCTTTTCTCTGAGATGATTATAAATCTGTTCATGCTTTTTAAAACTGGATTGACACTTTTTTTATTTTTACTTTACTAATGCAATACTAGTATTATATTACATCGGACACAAATATAACACTACCTGTCCTGTAAATAATAGCAATAAATATAGATAACATTTATAAGCAGCTTCTAACACATCAACATTGAAGCTTATCTTCAAATAATTTATATATTTAAATAAATTATTTATCACAGCATTAATACTATGCTATAGAATACCGTTTACGACGTATGATATAATCCACTTATAAATTCATATGGTAGAATTTACTTTTAATATATTTTTCACATAACCTATTCTTATTGAATGTATTATTTGTAAAAGTATTGATACCATGTTGTATGATATAATTCGCTAATTGATTAATTCGGCAGAATTTACCTTCAATATATATTTTGCATAATGTATTCTATACCTGTTAGGAGAGAAAACTAGGATACTGAAGTCAATTACATCATAACTGTATTGATTTATCTATTCCATCTATCAAGAGATAGCTTGGATAATCGAACTGAAACTCTGGCATTTTTAAAGTGCTAAGAGATGGTGCGATATTTATTTACCTAAGCAATTTGACTATCCAACCGATTTATTTGGCAAACTTGCTATTAGACGCATTAGGATCTGCTATTAATTTTATTTAGCCAACACTGTTTGTAAATTCTGCACAATAGTTTAATTTATATAACTTGTATGAAGAATAGCTATCTATGATAATGTATATCTCAGATTTAAAGAATTCATGCCTTATCTAGAATTTTTATCATTTTCTGTTTCTTCCTGAATTACCATGTACAAGATAATCAGAGAATGAAATATAAACAAAGATTCAGGATATAGCAACAGAAATATTAGATATGAATGATTTTGTTTTATTAGTGTTTGATCAGAGTTTTTTAACGTGCAATGCTTATTAACTATAAAGATACAAATTTAGCCTAAAATCGAAGATTAGATAACTACAAGTTGCTATTTAACCATAGTCTAATAAGTGTATTCGACGTAAATACTATTCATAATAAGCTTAAAATAGTTTAGAAATGCCTAGATTTTCATTAGCTACCGTAACTGTCTAATTTTCAGTAATAAGAGCTTGTGCAAGGAAAGAATTAAATTACTGCTGCAATTATTTATTTGCTGAACATGAAATTGCAACGTGCACTATAGCCATCATTAACTATAGTAATACTATTCAACCCGAAAATTACGATTTAAGTATGTAGCTGTTCATCATATTCCGGTCTAGTTGTTCCATAATTATTATTGCAATTTTGCAAGCATTTTACGCTTTAATCATACAATTCCATTTCGATAGGATAGTGATCGCTCACAGCGGTAGTCTATATTATAACATAAAACGAAAACAAATTTAATATTGAATCTATTTGCCTATACCGGTATCTATTCGATAAATGACGTTTTTAATTAGCTTTCATCTTATTAAATTATATAGTATTCCTCAATAAGCTGATTTATTATGCAGTAGTCGACTCTAATGGGATATATTTTCTGTTGTAGTCTATAGCAAGCTAGAGTTTGATAGATTTTGTAGCCTTGTACATTCAAAACGACTATTGAATGATATTTCTGAATGTAAGCGTAAAGTACAACTAAATCTTTAAACATTGAAAGTTTTAGTTAGTTTACTTTCAATCGAGCATAAAAGCCTTATTTCCTCGACTAATTACATTAAAGATTAAATTTCTGTAATCCTCTTACATTGCTGCATAACGATTTTACGTAAACAGTAAATAAGTTTCAAAAATTATTTAGTGGTATTCATTTGATTACTAGATTCCATTAACGTATTTAATGTCTGTCAACCTCTAACGCCACTACAGTACATAATCACTACTATATTTTTTCCATCTACGCATTTCTATTCAATTAAGTGATATTTCTTACCTCAGAGTAGCTAAGACCGTATTCAGTATCATAGCGGAAAACTTTAGCGGTGCCACTGACATAGTCAGATTGCATACGGCTTCCAACCAAAACAAATCTATTAGGTAATTAAAAAATGAAAATTTATCTTAATTATACTTTCAAGCCAATGTTAACTACTTATTGCCATAATTTATAGTATCGCTCCCACAGCGTATATTAACTAAAGTAGCCATATAGTCATTACTAAAGTATAACATCTTATTCGATTCTTATTCGCGTACTATGGTTTAAGTTCATTTTTGTATATATCATCCAGTATAGCATTAAATAGAGCTAGATCACCATTACTTAAAGGCATCGCCTTTGTTTATCCTTAAACTTATTTTCATCCTTTTAAACATCCTCTGGTATAATTTATCAAGGATAAGAGTAAACTATAATATCTACTATACCTGTCATAAGCGCAGTGAGTGGATTTGGTAGTGGTATCAGCACTATTGGGAATGATCCAGTTGAATCTGGACTGAGTCCACAGACGGATATAGCTCCATTCACTTGATGTAACATAGCTGCAATCAGCATTTAAATCACCCAAAATGATAGCGTTCGTTTCACCAAGCCGACTAGTAGCATCATCATAAACATCAGTTAAAGCATCATTTTCTTCAACAGCATAGCTAGGAGAAGCATGGCAAGGAATGAGAAGGAATTGCTTGCCTAGAATTCGTGATAATATAGAAATATAGGTTTTGCAGTATTAATAGAATGATTCCATTATAATAATTTTAGTTTGGAGCTAAAATAGAGGAGTTAAATAATCATGGCTGCAAGTATTATAGTCATTTTGCAAAATGACCGATTATCTATACGGCAACGACATGTATATATATATATATAAGATATATGTAATATTACGTTATATATCCTAAGTTGATCTATAGAGCTTAGATATATTGAGTAACAATTTTAACGAGATCACTTAACACTACAGTGATTTTAATCAAACTAAATAATTAATTATATGTTCATGTCTATTATCGTTGAAGCACAGTAATTAATGAACGTATTTCAAAGCTGTGACTTGCGATTATCAAATATTGGATTGACATAACTTTATAGATCTAGCAATTGATTTAAATTCTAGAACTAACTGGTACACAACCGATTTTAATCATTTTAAGTGATGAAATATATGCCCATGTCCTTTTAGTGAATGTATTGCAAGATTGCTACTTTCGATTTTGGGATATTAGATCAAAGTAACTTTACAGATTTTGCAATTGATATAAACTCTATAACTAACCGGTAGCCCTGATTTTAAACTTGACGACGAATGGTTCTCTTTGGAAGGTATCTTCGCCAGCAGATTCGCTACCATCATCATAATGATAGTTTCCTTGAGGTGAAAACAAGTCAGACCTGGAGTTTTATGAACAAGTACAGGGTGAAGTTAAATCAATTCGCAAGTTTAAATCATAATGGAACTGATATTATCAAAGAAAAGACTAATAATATTATTGCTGAGGTAGCTTAACAGATTTCTGTATTGAAATTTAGTATAGCTTTCATTACCTGTAAAAGAAAGCATATTGTTCCTTGGAACTGGTACGACCAAGACGATCTGAAATGAGCATCGAATAAGAGCGAGAATGACCCCTAATTAAAAGCAAAAGGAAGGGTTTAATTCTGAGAAATTTAAATAATTTATTATCAGCATGATATTTATAGTGTGAATGCCATGTTTCTCATTATTCAGAATAGTTAAAGATATATTGAAAACTATCACATTCTTCTATTAGATTTCAACTTAGATTGAATCTACTGTATATGGAATTTATTCAGAAAAATAAAATCTATCTAATCATGGTAACACTTATCCTTCTGTTTCCGATTATCAAATACAAACTGCTAATGATATGCATCTTAGTACTCAGTGGTAGATGTACAGCATTAAAGCTCTATGTTAAGATAATAACACTAAACTTTATAATTCAATTCTGTTCCGACGTACTTTAATCACAAAATTAGATGGAATTGTAACTAATAACAACGTTTCAGCATTATCATTGGTTAAATAAGTCGTTTCCCCGACAATTAAGCAGGCGTTATGAATAGCTATAAACTACCCGAATTAAATAAACTTCAGGTAATTACCTCAGATTTACGTTCAATAAGAAGTTAAAGTCATGATTGAGCTACACATTCAGCTTACTTGTTGACTTCGGTTAAAAGTTGTTGGATAGCGGTACCGCTGATGTCGCGGATTTCTTGAATAAGGGTCAAATCATAACGACGTAGAATCTATGCAATCAGTCAGTAAAAAAATTTGATTATGCTAGAAGTTTAGCGTGTATCTTAATCTATAGTAGCTGCTATTTACCTTAACCAAGTCTGCAACAACATCTGGTTTGCCCATCTTTGTTTTACCTAAAACCTGAATGTTAAAAGCTGCAAGCTTAACCTTACCAGCTTCAGCGGCTAAGGCCAAAACAGCTAGCATACAAATGACTGCAATTTTCATGATGTCAAACTATTCCGAATCAAACTGATAATAAATCAAATGAAATGGAGTAGATAGTAAACGAATATTGCCTCCTTAAATACTTTCAAATTGATATTGCAGCTGCCCTTCCTTTTTAACAACTTTTCTACCTAATTAAAAATTAACTATTCTACAATATATTCATTATCAAAACATCTGCTTTGAATACATAAGTAATATATTCGTACTTTATATTTGTTACTTTAAGGTATAATTTATGAAAATATTTATAGTCAAATGAAGAATATCTATTACTCTTCTAGCAGAAGTGTGTATGCCATGTCTAGTATAAAAAGAAAATAGACGCATGTCAATTAGTGAAAAGTCCAAAGTAATAAGACTTTCTCTCTTGGAATAACTATCATATATATATCCATAGGATCGCACAGTTAACTGATGCTTACTTTTGCTATCAGATTTAATACATCTCACAATATTAATATAGGAGCTGCCACTTACTATGCTTATTTATAGTCTAAATTTGTAATTTGTATCTATCTTTTATATAATAATAAACCAAGGCAAGGTGAATTGCAGGTGTAAATCTTGTTTTTGCAATTTAAGCTCAAAATGATGATATTTCCAAATGCAAGAAAATATTTATTTAATAAATTTTCGCGATGATTTGTTTAACAAAGGTTCATCAATAGCTGCAGCTGTTGATGAAATACAGTTTGAGTCTAGATTTAATATTTCTCAGCATCAAAACACAATTTTAACTATTCAAATTATGTTGTATTTTACGCAAGCTAAATTGTAATTATATATATACTCTTATAAACCACCACAAAAAGTTATGAAATGACATTGTGTTTATCCTCATTTTGTCCATTCTATAATAAAAAACACATGTAAACCATTATATAAGTGCACTAAGGTTCTAGAATCATTGCTTAGTCTTGAGAAATTGGATATGAAAAAATACTGATAACGTATAAATTTTAGAATACAACCAGATCGTTACTAACAGCTTATCTTCTTCCTAATATTTCATTAGTCAATCTGAAAATAAATTATTTTAAATTTTATTGTTTACCTTATCAGATTTTATCAATTATAAAATGTACATTTAATTGCATTTTTGGCATACTCGGGTATGCAATTAACGTGTTGATTCTGGATCAAATCATCATATACGACTACGTATTATAATAAGATAGGATAAAATCTTAGTTGAAAACTTATCTACGTTTAAGTCAGATACAATTGCAGTTTTTTATAATTAAATATGTAATTAATAATGATTTCGTAAAGAAAGCAATTCTTTACTAACTTATTTGTTTCATTCTATCTATACTGCTACATAATATTTGTACTTAATCTATGCATGAGGCTAATTATATTCCTAGATCATCAAATATATATTAACCTAATATTACTTCATAGGATAATGCATAACATTCAATATTGTTACAGCGAGGATACAATAGACTGATTAAGCAAATTTAATCTTTTCGTCGGTTTGTTATTAATTTACTAGCAGAATACGTTATAAATATATCTAATATCTGCTAACAAAAATTTTAGCATCAAGTTCTTCGTAGAAATATACTAGAAATTTCATGAAAAGGTTAATGGAAATGACGTACTTATAAATTATAAAACTCTGCTAAATTATAATAATTAACACATATTTCTCATAATTACTGCTACAAACCGTTCTGTAAATTGTCACTTGTCGTTAAAAAGTTGATTAATAGGTATAAAAAAATTATCCTATATTTACATGGTAGCTATATTTTATGAGAAATCAATACAGGAGTTTATTAATTATTTAAAAAGCTAAAAAACATTTTAGAGCAATAGCTGGATTACTTCGGGCCTTAAAGGATTGAATTAATTTAAAATCTATGTTATCAACAACAATAACTCATGAACTATCTCAGATCATTTGCTATAGGTTAAATTATAAATATTATTGTCGAAAGTAAGTTAGAATATAAATGTAAGGGCTTAAATTATAAATTATGATTACTTAACAGTATGGATAGAGGAGGAGATATGTTTAGCTGCTATTGAAAATACAGCGAATAAAAATTTTCATAAATAAATAATGATAAACCTTACTGTTGATAATGTTACAGCAGTATGACAGAATTTGCCTTAGTCTTACTGGATATCTCAGCTTTAAGAAAATGGCATTAAATGATTTATTATCTTTTTTGTTTTGTTTCAAGTGCTATTGCCAAACTATAGCTGTCCAAATTGTTATTATAGGAGTTGTTATTTAATAAAGAAGAAAATATCCTTATCTAAGAATGCCTTAATTTTTTATATTCCGTAAATATTCTAATAGGAGATATCGATCTACAATAACGATAGAACTGTTAATCCACTTATCAAACATTTAGATTCCTGTTATCGTATTCTACTAGTTAGTTTATATACTTATAAATTTACTTCACACTATTCTCGATATAAATTAATTTTATATGAAAGTAACTAAAGGTGATAGGATCTATACAAGAATATATTACTTTATCCATACATCTCTATCACAAAACAGCTTTGCAACAAGATAACGTAATGTACGATCAATAAGTCAATTCCTTGAACCACGTATCAAGAAACGATATCTGCACTATCACAAACACTCTTGCTCTACTAGCAAATTACACAAAGACTTAAACACCTCGTATTTTACGTTAAACACTAAGTTTAAGAATCCCGTTTATTACGCGATATACTGCATTTATATACTATTCCTCAATAGTTCATGAGTCATAGTTAATACAATTAACATTGGAATCGTTTACTGAATTAGATATTAATTTTAGCTACTGCTCCCTTAATGCAGACAACAGTATTTACCAACATAGACATGTAATGACTAATACAGAATAGCCAGATTACGATATGTCCTATCACGGAACATTTCCATAATAATTTACAATCTACCATAAGTAAATTACAATCACAATGATTCGAACTGTAAGTAGATGATTTGCATTCCCTATTATGACTATTAATTTCAGTATGTGTATATGTGTCACTGTCATAAAAAGTCAGTACTATATTAAAATACAGTATATCCAAATTAGAAGTTAACTAAATAAGGATAGGCTAACAGGATTATCCTAACATAGATATTTCTACTCTAATACAGCATATAACACTGTAACAATCTCATACGTTCATGATAATTTAGAACTGTGTGCAATTTATGATTTAGTAAAGCGTATATATTGATATAACATCGATGTTGTTAACCCTATTACTATAAATACCTACTCAAGGATTATTTAAACTTACTTTCATATCTCATTAAAAGCTGCAGAGACTTCGTTAGATATTAAGTTTGAAGATAGTTTGATCAGTTTTAACATTTTTACACCACTCTAAAATGGATTGAGTGTCAAGCATCGTATGGAGTTTTAAATTAAGCACAAATTATTAATCATATGAAGTGATTATAAGATTCCGCCTAATAGTTGCGATTACTGTGCTTTGATGAGGGTCAACAGTAGATAATTTTCGAAACGTAATTGTCACACACCACTAGTGACAAAGTAGTCTACACACGCCAATCCTTGCGGAGAACGCCACTTACTAACTTAAAGAGGCGAGATTAGCTATATCACCAAATAATTCAGTTCCAACGACCGAATACTATGGTATAATTATAGCGTTACAGATGATGTAGACGAGATAGTCAGAGATTTACTATCATTTATTACTGAAGGAATTTTGGCACCCAAGATTATAGTCTTTACAATTAAAATATCAATTGAAAAACTAGTTGACTATCTAACCGACTAACGAACTAAAAAGGAATCTTCAGGCACCAGCCTTTTATAGTCTCGTCAGAAACTCCTGGTGCACATAATATAAAAGTATCCTTTTAAAGTTATAATTAGGACGAGCTTACGCATCGTAACAGTAATACATAAAATTAGAAATGGATCATTCTACATAGGATATCAATAACTAAAAAGAAGATATGCGCATGAATCGTGATTCTATTCGGGTAATTAAATATCCATAGCTAATAAATGATTTACAGCTTGAAATAAGCTACTATGGTCTAGCGTTGATCTCAATTACTTTGATTGTCATCCCCGAATAATACCGAAAGTCGATAATTTTCAGATACAATATTACGTTGTAGCTTTAAAATATGCTCTATACACAAGACTATAACATATGACTTTGTAATAAAGAAGTTTGAAGAGTCAACGATTGCGTACTTAGCAGCTATTTACAAAATTTCACGAAGGGTTTTATTAGAAAAATGGATACTTTATTGTAGATAATAACTGGGTATAAAGTAGCAGTCCCTGATAGATCAGCACGCAAGCTGTCGTGAAGTAATGCCTGTGGATAGCAACACTACAAGTGCAACAGACAAATCTGAAACAAAAATCATCAGTATTTATAGTCTTTGAGATAGAATACATGTAGAGAATAGAATTATAGAATTACATACAACGTATCCTATAATAGACTATGTAATAGCAAATGATTGTAAGAAATAGCAAAGACTGTAGGTGCTATAAATTACTAAATGTAACAAGCTATATTTGAATATAGTTGAAATAGACTATAAAAATATCTATATTAAGAACAATACAATATACTTATAATTAAGAATATGTTATGAACTTATACTGCGATCTAAATACATTACAGTCTTAATTTAAGATTAATTTATATTGTACAATATTTCCTGTAAATTAGTTAGAATGAATAGCTAATGAGTCAATTTTTTCGTATATAATCGTATTTGCTATTGTTATGAGCTAGATACTGCTTAGAATGTCGTAAATTTCGTCAATAGCCACAAATTTCGCAAGCGAATTGACATAATCAGCAAAGAAATATATTTGGGCATTTCGCANATTGACTAGGCATTTCGCGAACTGACTAGGCATTTCGCAAATTAACTAGGCATTTCGCGAACTGACTAGGCATTTCGCGAATTGACTGGATTTCGTACTTGGACGGTAACATTATGTAAG